GGGTGTTTGGCAAACATGCGGCAAAAATGAAAGAGGTTATTCCTTGGACTATTCTAATGTTATTTTATCCTTTGATGATTTTTGAAAAAACGCTTCGTTGCGAAGATACATGTGTAATTTCTGCCCTTATTACTTAAACGGTTGTTTGTGAAATCCTCTATCATGGCTCATCATTCGAATGCGTTTTTTCAAAAATCATCAAAGGATAAAATATCATTAGAATAGTCCAAGGAATAACCTCTTTCATTTTTGCCGCATGTTTACCAAACACCCTGTATATAAACCGAAATGGTTACCACTCTATTAATGTGCAGTCGGTAAGTTTAAAGAATGGAAGATGAGTGGATAACGTTACAAAAATGTTGTTAGATATGTGACAGCAGCCTCAACATTCTAAATGTGAAAGCAAGGTATCCGGGAAGTAGGTACTAACGATGCATATAGATATACCTATATCAGAAAAAACTCTTTGTTGATCCATTCTCTAAATGGGGTGATGAACCATATAGGAAATAGACGACTCAATTCCTCAAAGGGGAAGGTTTTGAGGAATTGAGTTTTCCTATTTATGGAATCAATCAAGTGTCCATGGTCTTATGCAGCAATTACATCGATTAGTATTGGGTGTGTGACACATTTATTAATAAATGTAGTTCCTTACACTAATACTTATTCTTTACAGGAGATTCGGGATATCCCCTTCGCTCTTGGTTGTTAACACCAGAGACTTGATATAACCATTGAATAAAAACACTATAAGAAGCCTAACCCCGTGGAAATAAAGCGCGACAGAGTTTGAACTGAGAATATAATGGGAACACTGTCAATAGAGTCGATTCTTGAACTGAGAAGAATGAGAATTTGCTTTCCTCCTATTTACCGCAATGAGAGTTCGGGGTCACAACCAATGCGGGTGCAAGGGGATTTGTGAGATTTGTCGCGCTTTCTTCCATAAGCGTTAGGCTTCTTATAGTGTTTTTATTCAATGATATAACTATAGACTGCGCGTAACGTAGATTTTACTATAAACGCCTGTTGTCAAGATAGGATAGGCAACCAACAGTACAGTGCGGGGCAGAATACGTTCTCGCAGCATGCTGTAGCATATGTATTCAATGGATTTTAGTACCAAAACAAAACTACATATAACTGTTAACACTTTTAATAACATTTATTGGTGTTTGAATTGAACTAAATTTGTATATAACTGCCTTACTCTAGTCTTAATTTGATTTATATGTGTATTTTGGTGGTGAACACGTATGGTAAAATATACTCTTAAAACTAAGGATGTAAGTTGCAAGACATGATTATTTAGAGGATCCTGATTCAATATATGGCTATCCAAACACGCAAATGGGCTGTAACTATTATTTATTTTTCTTAGGCCGCTGATAACCATTTTGTTTACAACGGGATGTGGTGTTGATTGAATAAAGAACCTGAACACATTTTCAGCAATTTGACAAATTTTTATGACATCACTAGATGCGTGCAACAATCCTCCACGATTTTTTCTAGACAAAAGCTTTGATTGACTCTCTGATGCGAATACCGCATCTGCACATATAGAACATTTAACACACTTAGCTATTTTTCTTGCAACATAACCTGAAATATACTTAATTACGTCTATTAAATATGGAGACCAATGTGGAAAATCTAGTATATCTTCATTTTCTGTATAATTTTCTTCATTATCTATGAAATCAGGTAGATCATCGGCATGCTGTTCTTTCTTACATCCACTACTTATTGTTAAAATAGACGTATTATCTATTTGTACACAATTCGCGGAAACGGAGGATGAAATTTCTGTTTTGAGCAAAAGTCTTTTGTAGGCGCCCTCGAACTGCTTGGCTGTTGGATTATTATTATAACCTCCTCGTGATCCAATAGCTGAGAAAAACATCTCTATATGATCTTGACTTACTTTGTACGTCAAGATGTAGTCCAAAAGTTTTGTTTTTATCAGATCGTCCATCATATTCTGAACACTTATCATACATAGACCTTTAAATCCCGTCTTTCTGCGTGTCATTAGAACATTTTCTCCATTAAAAGTATGCAGTGTAGAGAGATATTGAATGGAACTTTTAAAAAACGTCGTGAAGAAAGTAATATTTTCTAATGTTAATGGCCTTCCCAAACTACTCTTCGACAATAAATTCCTGGAATTTAAAGCGTCAAATATATCATTAATTTTTCGGCAAAAATTTGAAGTGCCCTCAGAATCTGCGAATGATTTTAAGTTAAGGTCTTTGTTGCAATAATCCAGAGCATTTGCTACACTTATACTAAAAATCTGCACTGCTAATCTCACTTTCATAATCTCTTGTCTGAAATTAATATGTCGTTGGGTTAATTTGTTCGCAGCGTGGAGACCTTCAGTTTGTTGTAAAGAGACCAACGTTTTAAAAAATTCCCATTTAATTTGTCGTCCATCTTGGTCTGCAAGAACATGCCAATCCGCAAGAGTATTTCTAATCAGCTTTATCATATGACAAGGATCAAGTATAATATGTACTCTTTCATTGGTGAGTGGATGTAAAAACCAGGGCTGTAATTCCGGATAAGATAATTTTGCTCCTAATTGTGATGCTACGGAAAAATTTGTTGCTGTGCCATCAAACGTGAGAGACGATACTTTAATATTATCACATTGGCCAACACGTTGAAGACATTCTAATATCAAGTTAGCCTTCTCGGCTGCTTTAAGGCCATTAAGTAAAAAATACCCAACAGGAAGTTTCCATCGGCAATTCAGAGCAACTAATAGAAAGACTAAAGCTTCCTTCGCCTCAGGTAAAGCATCACTCTCTATATCAGCACCAAAATCTACGTAGCCGAAATATCGTTTTCCTGTCCTTTCTACATATTTGCGAATGGACATTTCATCATATATCAATCCACACAGCAGCACCTTGTTTTGTGCCTTACATTCACCGGCCTTTGTATTTAAAATATGAAAGGATTCTTTAGTAAACCCGGCAGAACCATCAACAGAAGAGACCCATTTTCGCAAAGTGGAGGGGTGTGGTAAACAATTATTAAATGTTTTCCTCACATAATTGTATGCACTGCTTGAATAAAAATGTAATGTCAACGCAAAGCTGCGAATGTCAGGTGCATATTTTCTATCGGGTGTTCGAGTTTGATGAAGAAGCATTTTCTTTTGCATCCCACCGAGACTTTCCTAATGGAAATAATAAAACAAAATTACAAAAATAAAATATTACTTATACCACAGATTACCTTAGCAAGGTAATCTGTGCTTATACCTAGATTATAACAGATGCTCCCATTTCTGGAAAATAAACAATTCTCAAAAAATAAAAACCTTAAAAATTAAAATAAACACCCTTCTGGAAAGCACGTGCATATATCTACGTATCTACCTGCCATAGACAAAATTATTATAAGCAAGGAAAGAGCGAATGACCATTCTTGCGTTAAAATTATTAGTTAATGCTGCAACAACTGGCAACAACAGAATCATACAATCATGCTAAACTTACTTACATTCAATACAATTTCACATTCTTCGGATATTTTATTTTGTTTTTTTAAATGGCCAACCAAATTCTCCAAAGATGCGATTTTTTTGTGAAGTCGAAAGTTTTTTATACTAATATCTTTAGTTGTCTATTTTTTTTGTCAATTTGTCTTTTTGCTAATTTCCACATCATTTTTGCTTTTTTGGGACATTGCAAGTCTTCCTCAGAATAATCTCCAAAATAAAGTTTCCTAAATAAATGACACATGAATATGGTTTATTTCAGTTAGAAAAATATATTTACCTTTTCAAAGACGTACGGGAAGAACTAGAAGTAGAGGGTTCTTCCGTATCGGGGATAGGGTCGGCGTCGCAATCGTCCGATTGAGTATTTTTAAGAAGTAATGTTCTGAAATGTTTAAATGAACATCTGTAGTTTCATTTAAAAGCAAATAATAGGAATTGCGGTCGTTACCTTGCTGGTAAAGGATGTGGAATAATAGTTCTGTGTTGTTTTGGAGATTCAACTTTTAATTGAACGGGAAAGTCAAAAACGCTCGGTATGGCATCATTCTTTAACACTTTCTTTGGTACTTTTCTTAGAAAATCGGCTTCTTTAAAATGTTCCCCGCAAATGACACTGTGTTTAGTAGGAGTAAACTTTTCTCTGCCAATTGCTCTGATCCATTGGGCCATTAAATTGTTATCCGTCGGAAATCTGCATATTATTTAAAGTTACATAAAATACCTAAATAATTATTAGAGTGGGGATTTAGGGCATTTTACTTATACGTTAGTGTTAAATACAGAATATATTCCAGATCAGTTATTGTGTACCTTTTCGCGTGCAAGTATCTTAGTTTGCGTTTGAACATATTATTTCGTGGCGCGTTTTCAAAGAAAACTTATACGTACTTACCTGTGAAATGAAACAGATTTAGAGTTCCTGTTGGTGCATTTAAAGGCTACGCACGATTTAACCATAGTTTATTCTCGACAGCTAATCAAAAGAATGATTAATAGACGGAACATCAAAAATGACAGCTTATTTCTTTATACATGTATCTCTGCGGTTTGCCCCGCAGTGCATTGTGTGTTGCATACTGTGTCGACAACACATTCGATACGTTACGCGCAGTCTAGTTATAGCAAGTCTCTGATTGTAACTATATGTATTATCTACAATGATTTTGACTGACAGGTCATTTGAACAGTCAAAACTAATTAGTTGTGAAATTGTTCGAAGCGTTGCAGCATTTGAGTGTCCTAATTCTGAATGAAATTAATAATCTATATGCAATTTTCAGTTTTACTTAGCACTCTTAACGGCTCCAAGCAAAACAAATCTTCAATCGAATCTAAATTACCATAGGGAATTTAGCTAATTTAAATGTAACATGAATCATGTAAAATTCAAATTGAAGTCGGAGTATTGCAATAATTTTTTTAATTATTTTTAGCAGGAGAAAAGAAAATTTTATAGAGGTTGGCCAACATTTTATTAGGACCAAACTTAAGGCACAAGAGCTGCACTTATATAATGAGGTAGATCACAGACATAAGCTACTAATATCTATGTATAATACAAATTGATATTTCCACCCATATGACTGGATAAATACAATTGAATAACTGGCTCCTGGCACTTCTCAAGTTTTTGAATGATTATATCGTACTTTTCTTTTATATCGATTTTTTTAGGATTAGTATCATCAAGCAAAAATATTGCTAGTATTAAGCAAGCAATGGAGCTGCCATTGTGAATCAGCGAGTCAATTAATGAGTAGCGCTCACTTTTACAATTAACCTTGAAGAAATATCGAGAGAAGAAGTTAATCTTCTTACAAAGAAGACCAATGATAATTTGGCCGTAAGTGCTTACTAGTTCATCGCACAGTGCTTCCAATTTTGCAGCTAAGGAACTGTCAAGTTCCAATGTGATGTAAGTAAGTTTCAAGTGAATATACTCATCTAAAGTTTGTTGTGGTTCCAAGACGGTGTTCCACATCGTAGCAAAGGCTTGAAAAATTTCCTTGTTGTAATAGTCGCCCGATAAAAATGGCGCACAGAATTCTTTCAAAAAGTCTATGGTGGTGTTGCGGGCCGATGTTCTTCTGCTAGGATCATTCCAAGAACTTGTGACATATTTGCTGACAATACCAAAGCAGGACGTCAATCGCCTCATTTGCTCAATCTGGTTGTCACAGTGAAGTATATACTTACATACAAACGTATTTACAGTGGAGGAGAAATGAGTCAAAGTGTCACATTTTAAAAAATACAAGCTAATCACATTTTCAAAAAATTCGTTAGGCATTTTTGAGATTAATTGGGGCGAAACTGATCGTAACACAGATCCTTTACTTGCCTCCCATCGATTATCGGGATCAGGACGATTGTGTAACGCCTCCCAAGCTAATAAAATGTACGCCACAATGTATTCGCGAGGAACTTTATCGATCTGCAGTAGTATCTCGATTGCTTCTTGATCTTCCAGGTCGACCTCCTTCAGATTTAATGTAACCAACTCCCATGTGAATTCCTCTGGGTTCATCACGAAGAAGTTGAAGCAAATTTTGAAAATGACCTTACGCAAGGAGGCGTTTTTTTCTTTGTTCATGAAGCGCGTTATTATTCGATGCACCTCCGATTTGTCCAACACACGAAAAGTTAAATGTAGGGCATGCTTACGCGTGGAAACAGCACGAGTGATTAATTCGGCGAAGAATGGAACCAATTTGTTCTCGCTAACGCTGTCGACTATCGAATAGAGGGAGCCACGTACCAACTTTAAATAGTCACCTTTGCAAAATATAAGAATACTTTCTAAGGCTGCCGATGGCGGATTCAAGTGTTTGAGGCAACCCCCGATGACTTGCAGAAGGGCGTAGAGCTCACGACCCTCGGGTGTCTTGTAGTCGGCCTCTCTTTCTGTGGGGTAGTACTCGCGTACTAGGTCGACGAATTGGGGTGAGTCTTGTAATAATGACAGTGCAAGTGCAGAGTTGCGATCCTTGCTCTCACGTAATTTTACCGTACATAAAGCCACTACTTTCTGGGGTATTTCTAAATGTGAGAGATTACGAGTCTGTCGAAGAAATGCGGCTAACCGTGTATAGGTGAAATTTTGTAGGATCATGGATGTAATTGCCCCAATGTAGGCAGCGACAAGCTGTAGATCGTGTTGCAGAAGCCAATTGAGGATTTCGTAGTTACCATATAAGTATTCGATCGATAAATAAATATCAAAATACTCCTTTCTCTTTGACTGTGAGTGTTTGATGCGGTAAACCAAGATCTGTATATCCAAAGCATCCAATTTGTTCTCAGAACACTTTCGCGAAAACCACTCTTCAAATCTTGCATATTGGAAGACGGAGATGTTGTCCCCGAGGTGACTTTCATTCCATGTAATCACTTGACGAATAAAATACGGGGCCCAAGAATCATAGAGGTCTTCAAGTTCATTGACTATCTCTCCAAATGTTACTAAACACAATCGAGTGAAGTGTGGGTTCTTTGGAATTATAAGCAAATCACTGAAAGGCCGAATCCACTCCTTCAGTAGATCTTTTACAGGCAAATTGTTCAGTAGAAGGTAATGGACGTATGCTTCTCTAATAGCATGCGTCTCGTGATCATTCTCAGTTGACAAATTTGCAAACTCATTAATCAAAGCCCAATGCTTTGGTGATAACTTTTCCAGTTCAAAGTGGCTCAACAACCCCGACAAAAAGCTCCGGTGTACAGACGCCTTGTCATTGCGATGCTTACTCAACATATAACCACACACATCCAGCAGCGCATCGGTATTAGAATTCAATTTACAAGTCAACACCAAACAGTTGACGAGTTGTTCTCTTGTTTTCACTGCGGAGGACAGCTCCAGTTTCTGTTTCAAAAACCGCAGAGATTTGTCAGTGGGCAAATAGGGAACCCACACCTCTTCGTTGACAAACGCAGGCCTATTCTCAATACTAAGCTGCTGATGACGCACTGCCAATGGTAACATCTCGACAAATTCCAAGCTAAGAAATATGGGGTAATTCCAGAATAGACAACCGTAAGTGTGCTGAAAAACTTCAAGCCATAACTCAATCGGTTTCTGCCTACGGGGTACCAGTTTCATTATTGAAAGTAGATAATCTTCAACATTTTTAAACTCCTCCAGCGTCTTCGGTAGCAAACCAACAAATAGAGAGCGAAAATTGTTGTTTAACGTTTTTACAATTGTACGTTTGTGTAAAACCAAGAAGTAAGTTTGGGGTTTCCTAATAACATCGTCTCTATGTGCGTTGACGAACTTTTCAGTTAATCTCCAACCTAAGCGCATGCGTAACTTAAATTTTTCGTTCAACTCAAGAAACAGCTCAGGATCACAGTTTGCAATGTGCCGAATTAGTAAGTAATTGTCTTCATCTCTGTACTTATCCATTAACATGCTGAAAATTTCCTTGGTCAATTCGGGATAACGTTTAATGATGAGAAGCGCTTGCTTCCAAGTTGGTTTAAAGTTATGTGTTGCTAAAAAATCAAGTATAAAATCTGGGTAGCACGACGGTAACAATTTCGCAGCTAAGTAAAAACCATACTTGTCTTTGATAGCTTCGAAGTAATCAGTAGCTCGGTTGGCGTCGTTTAAACGAAGAGCCAACTTGTTAACAATTTTAACCTTCACCCTAAATGACACATTCGGGAATACATCAGTAATCAAGTCCTTAGCACTAACTTTACATAACGCCTCCAGAAACCACCGCTCTTTGAATATACGACCGAGGAGAAATGTCTTTTCGTTCTTCAACACTTCGATCAATTCCTCTACTCTTTTAAAATAAATCAGTACGTCAACTCTGAATTTCTCTTCGAGAAAAGTTCTCGGTTGCAAATGGGCGAAGTTCAAGTCGCCCCCGTCTTTTTTGTATGCCTTCAAAAGGAGGAACAAGTTCTTCCGGCGTTCGCCAATTGTTACACCATTCAAATTGTGAAAGTTTGTTATAAATTCTTGCGACATTTTAGTTTGTTTAAAAATCAACTAAAAAGGATGAAAATTAATTCAATATTAGAAAAAATATTCCTCAAACCTATTTTTGTTTCAAAAAACACAATTAACCTAAAATAAAGACTTGCAGATGTGTTGCACATTGACTCCCGCGTAGTACCGAGGGAATCAATATGCAACACAGGCAACAGTTCAGGTTGCCAACATAACAAATACCAACATCTGAATCAAACTGCCACAAACTCCCCCAACCAATGCATAGGCACGAACATAAGAATACTTTCTAAAACCGCCGATGGTGGATTTAAATCTCTCGCGTAATCCAAATCGAATTTCTTCTCAGAACACTTGTTTGCATGGGTGGGGGAGGCTGTATGGAAATGTAAATGGGATTTGCGTCAGATTTTTAGAAAAGATGTCAAGTGAATCCCAAAAAAGCTCCCATTTAAAAGACTGTCGATTTGACAATACCCCAACACGGGGGGGGGGGGGGGGGCTTTTTGAAAATGTAAAAAAATCGCCATTTGAAACACTCAAACGGCTCAGATTATTATACTCTGGGCCTGGGGCCGTCCTTTCTACAAAAACACTTGCCCACGTCGTAACGCATATTTCCCCCCATAAACTATAGTGAGGATTCAATAATTAAAAACTAAAAGTATATTAATTCTTACCTGTAGTGTTTTCAAGTAACTTTATGCATAAGGGTATAAAAGGCATTAAAAACCATGTTTGCTTTAATTATATTGTATATAAGTTACAACAGCAAAGTGTATAAAGAGCAGCAAAAGCATGGTAAAAATGAGTAGCAAAACACTCACATCCATTACTCGTCACATTGCCAAAACCCACTCCGAACTTTGGCAATGCGACCAATTAAAAACTCAATACTTAGAAAACTATTATATCTAGGTGTACTAAAAAAAATTAATAATAAATTAAATGCTTCTTTTACATACAGTACAGAACTGCATAAATTTGGAATGTAACATGCTACCATATTGCACTATTAATTTAAGATAAGTACTCATAGCAGTATTACATTAATAATACAACAAACAATAGTAAAACGCCATTGCACAGTAACCTTAAACCCGAAAGATGCGAAGGGTGAAATTAAATTCCACGAAGAGGCGTTCTCTTCATTATTGTGCCCGAACTGCCACCTTACGAGGTTCGTTCTAATTGAAATAAAACAACTGGTGAGTAGCTTGTTCGACGTGAACGGCGGCGGTTTGTAAAAATTTGACTTACTTTCTTTTGCTTCTTTGAAGGACTCTCTTTTTTAAATAATAATCTGCCGATAGCGGATCGAAATGTGGCCAAATATCGTTTGGTGCTGTGCTGTACTCACATATACTAACTAATTTTAGTGCATCACAGAATGATAAACAAATTTCCTTTACTCTGTACACTAACTTTGAATAGCTTAATCAGATTTAGAATTGGCACGATCATGCTGTTTAAATCACTTTTTGGGGGTAACTGTAATGATATCTTTTTTTTAATGTGCCTGTTGTCTGTGTCTGTTGGCAATGATATCAAGTTGGAAGTTAATGAAACTTTGGGATGCTGTTTATGGATGGTTAGTTAACATTTTCTCAAGTTTTCGACCTTCGAGGACATTGTGCGAAGAGGAGGAGGGCGACAACTACAAAATTTTTCATCTTCTTGCGGTTTTTTTAAATGGATTTTGCAGTATTTCAGACAGTATGGCAGTTCTCGGATACTGATCGAAAATAGAATAGGTCCTAATATACTGCCCTGAGGTACTCCCTTATTAAGATTGTATAACTTTGACCATGAATGTAATGTAATGAACTGCCCGCTATGGTAATATACAAACACATTATTTATTGCCTCATTCTAATCTAGTTTGTAATGTTATTTTAATGTCATTTCCTATATTGTCATTACCAATAATTTTGTTGAATAAAACCGTTTATTCTAAAGGTTTTATCTATATCAATTTATTCAACAAAATAAAATAAAATAACACTGTCAATGTCATGACGATCTGCAGGAGCGGACTGGGTACTTACGGGCCAGGTGGAATTGCATAGGTTACGGGCCATTAAAATATTAGTGTAGTAATGAAGGTGGGGGGGGGGGGGGGGGGGAGCTCTGCGGTGCACCACAAAAACATTTTTTTGCTTCCTTTTAGTACTCCTTTTTCGGAAATCAATTACAATACAGTTTTTTTTAAATTGCAGCTGATAATTAAAAGTAACAAAATATACAATCCACACGAGGTGCGTCGTCTATCATTGTATTTCAGCACTTTTATGCTACGACAAAACATGATAAATTCATTCTAAAACACTTCAATTAAAACAGAATTTTTTAATTTTTTAACAACCTAACATCAACCCCAATTAAAGAAACGTGTTAATAACTTATTAATAGTGCAAGAAACCAAATACAGAACATACTTATAAATTTCCAACGGGCCATTATGACGTACAGGCCAGGTGGCAATCGCCATCCGCCCCCCCGGGCCAGTCCGCCCCTGCCGATCTGTGTGGTCCCATGGAGAACAAATATATTGCTGGGGGGCTGACCCGAAAGGGTCCGGTCTCGTATTCGCCACTGGAATATCTGCATTAGAAGGAGCTCTGGTTCCTGACCTAGTCACAAACAAAGTAATGCCAAAACCAAAGAAAAAGAGAGAGAGAACTTAAGTGCTATTATTGCACTAAGATAGGACACAGAGTATGACAACTGTAAGAAATGGATTAACGATGGGAAGCCGCCTAAGCCAAGCGGTTTACGAGCGAACTCGTCATCGAATCAGGTTCAGAATATTATGTTGATGGCAATTGCTTGCTCTAATGACTGATAGCACATTGCTATCACAAGACGCAAGGTTAAGACAGCAGATGGCGTGACAGTTCCTGCAAAAGACACAGTCATTGTGGGGTTGAATGTGAATGGCAAGAGGGAGCATAGCAATTTAGGTGACAAATGGCTACTACCATCATTAATGTAACCAACTTTAATAACACTGACTTACTATATAAGTTGCTATTATAATAGATACCTTGGTATCTAAGTTACTCAGTAAACCTGCAGGAGAAGGAAACACATCTAACGACTTTCGAAACTGATTGCTGTGTTGATGAGAGTATGAGTACCTACTTTTTGAAAAATGACGTTTCTTCGAGCGCCATATCTCATTGACATACAACATGTTTGAATACAACATTTTTAGAAATTTAATGCTTTACCATGTATTTAGATGCTTTTGCAGTAGGATATAAGTTATTGAGATAAACCAACGTCAAGAATTTTGCGCAGTCGCCCCTCCTCTTTTCGCACAGGGTCCTCGGTGTCAGAAACTGTTAAATAACCATCCCTAAACAACATCTCAAAGTTCATTAACTTTTCTATAACTCTCGCCAGGAAAGATTGCCGGTCACAGCACACTTTGTGTTGATCTACAATCTTATGTTTTTCTTAAGATGCGAGCGACTTCCGGAATAGGATCGTTCCAATGTTGAACGAAAAGTCTTTTTGTTCAACATTGACACGATACTTTTCCGGAAGTCGCTCACGTCTTTAGACTGGGATCAAGTGTTCTGTGACCGGCAATCTTTCCTGGCGAGAGGTATATATGAAACGACCTGTCGACCAGACTATATAGGGATTGTGGAGTTCTTCTGAAAAACAAACAATAATTAAGAAAATGTAGTTGAATGATCTCCCAAGTTTTTCAGGGAAGGTGGAGAATCTTTTTTGTCAATGGGACTAACACAACTGTGCCAATTCTTTTATGGTTTTATGTGTGCCTTCAAAAAACCATTCTACCTACTGTTATCCAACAAGGTCGATTCCGTCATCTGAGATTTGCACATTCAAATATTAGTGAAAGAGTACATTATTTGAACAAGACAATGAGGAAATTTACTACATGCAATTTCTGTTAAACAAAAGTCACAAACTGCTAATAGAGTAAGGAAACAACCTCAAGCACAAAAATTATTAACGAAAAACAAGCTCAGTGTTTGTGTCGGAGTGATTAGTGGCGTCAATTGTTTCAACTTCACTTTCAAAATGTCAAAAATTTAAACATAGTTGAGGGGTTGAATGACATTTAGAAATGAATTGCGCAATTATTGAAATGGACGATAACCCCACTGCAGGTAATTTATTTCTTATCTTGACACATATCTTTTTGTGAAGTAGGCAACAATTAATTGATTAAGAAATGTCAACAATCGTTTATTGTACAACAAACAGAGATAAAAGAACGGTGTAAGCGACTTCATGCTTTAGCCAAGCGCCGTTAGAAAGAATAAGAGAATCAGAGCGAAGCTATTATTGCGGCTTTTATCAACTCCATTGCGGTCTACATTAAAACAATAAATCGTCCATCTAAAATGGTCAATTTTAATGCAGACCATAACTAAAATTGGAAAAAGTGCATGCAGGTGTTAGAAACGCAAATGAAAGCTAACGGATACCTATCGTCTAAGTTATGTTCCTTACGTGTTAACTCTCTATCATAATCATGCATCTTATATACCGGGAAGTTTGGTTGGTTAATATTATGTACAGATTATATGCGTAAATAAAGAAAATTTCGAATAAAGATATATTTATTACAAATAATAATTAACAAAGAATAAACTCATGTAAAAGTAACATGAAGTAAATCATTTTCATTATATCGTTAGAATTGTTACGTTAATAATTTTTAATAAATAATACATCACACCCTTGACTAACTAGGATCCCTTTTCTCTTGTCAATCTAACAACTACATTGCTTACAATTATTAAAGTATGTCGATTAAGATACAATTTCGATGTACGAAGTAATCGAAACAGCCACTTCTGTTTTAATTGACAAATATACTTTGCGAGAGATTCGGCAGCTTATAAGTAGAGAAACAAATAAAAGGTCGAAACATCCCAATTTACCAATTCCGCGCATTTGCAAGAAAAATGTTATCAATCTTAATCACTAATCACAACCGTTACAGATTAATCAAATTGGGAGTATTTCGACATTCAAGTTTTGTTCGATAAAATTAGGCGATAGCGTAGTTTCATATAATTTTTAATAATCATACACAATATAATTCTAGGAATTTTCTAATATTTTTCTGTGTGTAAAACGAAAACCATAACTAATACTGATTTTTAAATGATTCATATTCTAGATGTTTTAGTCAGCTTAGGTTATTGTAAGGTGATGGTGATCATACTGTAGTGGCATATTTAGCCATGGCGAAAAATAGAGCATAGTAACATATCAAAAATTATTCCCCCAGCTATTACAGAAGTCCGCCATGAATTGCATAAAAATAAAATGGTGCATCAACAATTTGTTAATGTTGAGTAATACGCTCATCTACAGTAGTATTAGTTATTACTAAGTTTGAAAAAGAAATGTATAATTTTCTCGAAAAATCCCTTTAATCACAAATTGGATGCCTAACAAGTGCAAGCTACAAAAATACTATAATGCACAATAAGGAAATGAAAAGATTACATAATGGAATGTAAAAAATGCAAATAAAATTACATAAGATATATTCAGTAGTGTTAAAGAATTCGTTGGAAGACCAATTAATATAAAATATAAAAACAATTACCCGCTTAAGTACAATTTCAAGCATTTTTAGTAGGCAGTATTTTTTAACAGTACTGAATTAATGAAAATTAACCGCACACAATTATCTATTAATTATTATTATAAAATCTGTAAAGGGCAACTATGAGCTAGGCTTGTTCATAGGCGAGTTAATGCCTAACGCATTGAACAATTTGGTTTTGAGTCCGGCTTTTTCGGTGTCCGGGGTTCGTGCATTGCTCGGCTGTTAAAAATTAACCGTCATCAACATCTATGCATACCTAATTAGCTTAAATCTATTATTCGTCGATTAATGGTGGTAGAAATTAAGCTAGCGAGTTGAAAAGAGATGAGATTAGAAACATCAATGGAGTTGATAAGGCCTTCAAGTGAGATCAACTCTCATTTAAACTTGAATTTGAAATCGATTTAAAAAGTAAGCGTGTGAAAAAAACGTACAGACTTGATCTGGCAACACTTACCGAAAAATGTTCCGACATCACAATAGCAACACGAGATGATTTTTTAACAAAGAAAAAAAAACGACAAACGTTATTTACTTACCTCGTCTGCATCGTATGTCATGTCAAGAGATTCGCGTGAGCCTCTGCGCGATTTTTCTTTATTACTCGTGGGCCTACGACGATCACCCGAACCATCGCCAAGTATACTTGCAACTTTGGCTTGTTTCACAATGTCTAAAGCCTAAAAATAAATCTGTTATCGACACTTCACTACGATACGGTCTAGTTAAACTATTTACTAGTGGCACAATAAACATCAACTTACTTGTTGAACGTGCTGCAGCAGAAATAAAAAAAAATGAACAATATTAATACAGTGTATCTGTCATATCAAGGGAGTTGGTAACACTTTCTCGAGTTAAATTCTGATACATTGGCACTACCACCAAAACAATCAAATGCTCTCATTTACAGGTGGTATCGTTTGGGTTAAGAGAAGTTATCCTCAATATCATGGCAAGTGGCACCTAGTATCTCTGTCTAACAAGTATCGATCTGGAGGCTGTAAAGAATCAAGTAGCCATATTGATGAACCTGGATCATTGGAGGAGGAGACTATATGAATCTGGATTTTGGAGAGCAATGATGCTTTTGGTTGGTGTGACGAAAGTTAAGTCGTCTACCAGGTAGCAAATTCCTCTTTCGGATCAAACTTTTCCATTTTTTTTCTTAACTGTGAGAGGTTTCACCCTGTATATACAACTTATAACGACGCATACAATTTTGAGAGCTGGCAACACCGCAAATTTTTAAGGGAAAGTTGTCTGCGCCATCTGGAGAGTATCAACGTTTGTTACCTTTGGCATCTTGTTGTTCGTAATGGTGATCACTACAGCATCGCTCCAAAAATGTATGTTTGTGTTTTGTATGCAACATTTTTAGTCCAGGCTATTATAATAATAAAACTATTGATTTTAGACGAAAATGTTAAATGTAAAAGTTATAGAGATTAAAAAAATGAGCAACTTTTGTATCTGCACTATTTTCACATAACCTCCAATTTTCCTAGCAAAACCGGAAAAACTGTTTTTTTCGTTTTTTATTCTTATTTTTGGGAAAAAATGTCGTAGGGGTTTGAAATTTGGAGGTAACATAGCCTGTTTTATGATAAAACAGAAGATAATTGTTTGGGCCCATAAAGTTGAACCGTTTCCAAGATCTCACGATTTCTGAAAAAAACCACCTCTTTTTCAAGGGGATGAAAAATCTATTTTTTTTCATCGTACAGAGGTGCGCGGAGTAGCAAAATTTTCGGAAAGACTTATATTTTAATAAAGAAAAATAAAAAATATTATTCCTATAACAAAAATTTGCGAAAATCGCCAATTTTTTACAGAAATCGTGAGATCTTGGAAACGGTTCAACTTTATAGGCCCAAACAATTATCTTCTGTTGTATCATAAAACAGGTTACGTTACCTCCCTCCAAATTTCAAACCCCTACGACATTTTTTCACAAAAATAAGAATAAAAAACGAAAAAAAGTTTTTCCGGTTTTTCTAGGAAAATTGGAGGTTATGTGAAAATAGTGCAGATACAAAAGTTGCTCATTTTTTTAATCTCTATAACTTTTACATTTAACATTTTCGTCTAAAATCAATAGTTTTGCCACAATTTGCAAAATACCACTTTCTACCCATTTCAACCCCCGTAATTTTACCCGCGGAAAAATTCAGATGTTTTAATTATTTTTTCCGAATTTCTATTCATTTCACCTGCCTGAAAAACCCGGTTTCGCCCGGTAACTAATTTTTTTTGAAAATAAATCATTTTAGAGCTATTTAGCTTGGACTATTTATTTTTTGTGAATCTTTGATTTTGATTTAACCTTAATGCATATTCGTTTGTTTGATAGCGTTACCCTTTCGTTTGAAATCGTGTTCACTTTTGGTAATGTTTGCTAAATTTTTGTTGTTTCAATTACATGATCTTGGCCCCATCTTAGATTTATTAATCATTCTTTAAAATACGTGGAAATTATCGAATTGTTTGATGAAATGAGTTACGACACTCAATACCAGGGCTGATCTCGACAATCAACTGTAAGCTCGAAACCCCGAACGAGGGGCGTGTTACCTATTTCGGGGGCGAGAATCTGCTAATAAAAAACTCTTTGGTTTAGAAGCTATGTGTGGTATAAGATGAGTCACATCCTGTGTATAACAAATTGTTAATATTCGGGATTACTGTTTTTATATTTTTCCATAAAAAACAATAACACTTGACACTGTATATTATAGAAAATTCGATTCTAACCAAATTCATTTCTCTTAATTTTTTCCCTCAGAACCAAATGCGAAAAAAATGATCTTACAGTGGAGCAAAAGAAAACCAACTCTAATATTTCTTCAGATAGAGAATTCAGAAAACTAAATGGCCCAATTTAAAATTTTAGGCCTTCCCACCTGTTTCAATATTACATTGGGTGTCAAGACAAAAAAATTTATACAAGATAATGCAGAGGAAATACTTAGTATCGCTCTGACCATCCCTTCCATGTTGAACGAGAAAAAAGGGGTACCAGAAGAACCCATCTTCACTATAACCTCTTCCACTTCTGAAAGCAGACTAAAACAATACAACGTTTACAAGTTTAAAAGGCTTTCGGAGATACACGCTATTCCTAGCAAAATTGGGACATGACTAACATAAACTGTGGTGGATGTTGTGACTAAATTGAAAGGTGGGCGTGACCAATTCTTCCCCTCTCTTGGTTGTAGCGCACTCTACATTGCAAGAAAGAAAACCAAGGCTCCTGTTATCAAACCAAAAGAAAATTTGATTGTTTTAGTGGGTGTGCCTTCTAAACACGCCCTATAAATTAGAACCAAGGCGAGAAAACAATACACATACCTCCTTTCGACTTCTTAAAGCGCAATCCTCCAAAGTTTCGGCGGCCTCGTACTTGCCCTGACGACGATACAAGGCGCCTAGATTTTTCAGCGTGGTCGTGACAGTCGGCGAATCGACCTTTGCGGCCTTGTGCCAACCGCCGTACTCGCCGTAAGGTGCGTTTTCTCGATTGCGTGCCTTGTTCTCTTCGCGTTCCTCGGCCACTTGCCAAATAGGTTTGTTGTCACCTTCAAAAACAATTGATTTATAACATGTTAAATGGACGCGGCGAGTTGTCTCAACGTCACACGATGTGTGCACTAAATTTGTGAAAGTTGAACAGGTTTTTCACTTGGTACATCTCGCTTATAAAAAGCAATAATTACTAAACAGTGAAAGCCAAACGTGATACATACCTGTTGCCAGTCTTTCCAATTTGAAAATACGTGTAAGCCATTTACGATCATAATATGCAAAGCATCGTTCGCTCCTATACATGAGAAGTGCATAAAAGCTATAGTTATACAGGGTGTTCATAAGTTTCATGCAGGAAAAAAGGAATAGGTATCGCAATAAAACATCAACATGCATAAAGCTGTAGGTATATTACACAGCACCCTATACAAGTGCAAAAATTTACAGGTGTCTAACATAATTATCAAAAGTAATAAAGAGACACACACTGTATAACTTAAGCCATTTACAAGTAAGAAAATCTCGCAAGTTACTTACAGTTGAAATAACAACCAAACTACAACTTAAAATATTTCAACATGAAATTAAACATTAACAACGGAATGTTCCCAATCTACTCGATCACTTATCGTTAATAGCTTCGTTCATGCACAACCTCGCCCACGTTCGAGAAAAATCGCACTAACTACAAAATAGTATTCGATTTGATACTTTGCTCACCGTCAATTGTTCCGAATTCCCTTTCGTGCGCCCTATTTAAAATTTGCTTGTAGAGAACTTCGGCCTCCCGGTACTTGCCCTGCTTCAGGTAGCAGGACGCCAGGTTGTTTTTCGTCTTCGCGACGTTCGGATCATCCGGTCCAAGTCTCTGTTCGTAAATTTCCAAGGCGCGCTGGTAGTATCGCTCGACTTCCTCGTACTTTCCCTAAAAAGAGCAAGAAATGGTCTCGCATTAACGACGATTGTTTCGTGACGTACTCTCTGCAATAAAACTACCATGCAAAAATTGCGTAATTGCATTGGTCACATTTAAAATTTTTGAAAGTGTCATCCGCCATTTTTGGGCAAATTTGCTGCCAACTTAAAAAAATTGACAAATAAAATCTGAATAGCTGTCATTTTTTATAACCTAACTTCATAGTACTGTCATGTTTTATAAAAATATATACAGATATCTCCAAACAGGTGGAACAATCCCTAACATTAAAGTTAAAGTTACTAGAATCTGGTTACTTCCGCCATTTTTGGGCAAAAATCATGCGATCTCTCTCTAACACACGAGCCCAATGGATTGCGGTACTTCCTATATTTAGTGACTTTAGCGAAGACAAAAAGAGATAGTCATAAACACTAACAACTGAGAGACTCCATAAGTATAAGGAGTCTATCTGTAATTACACTGACTCGAGAGACGGTGTAGTCATACAGTGGTACAGATCCGCCATGTTTTAACCAGAAATAATTGTAACCATAGCCAAATTTACCAATTTGGTTAACCCAATCAGCTGAATAATGAATTGGAAAAAAACATGGTGGACATGAAGCATTATGACCACACTGTCTTTATACAATCACTGTATCTGCGCCATCTCAGCACACACTCAATTGACTTACCTGATTTTGGCAAAGAAGGGCAAGATTATTAAGTTGTTTGGCGACATCCGGATGCTCACGGCCCAAAACCTTCTCTCTAATCTCAAGGGCACGTTTGCACAACGGCTCCGCCTCTTTATATTTTCCGCGTTTACCGTACAAAACAGCCAAGTTGTTAAGTGTGGCGGCGACGGCCGGATGATTCTCGCCCAAGGTCTTTTCGCGAATCGCCAACGCGTCGTTGAGTAAATTGGCCGCCTCCTTGTATTTGTTTTGATCCCTGTAGACGAGCGCCAAAATATTTAACATGGTGGCGACGTCGGGATGATCGTGTCCGCTGGTCTTTTCCAAGTCTTCTAAGGCTTGCTTGCAAAGTGGCACGGCGACTTCGTAACGTCCTTGGGAGGCGTACTGTATAACCAGATTGTGTAAAGTGCGTAGACGTGCAGGAATTTCGTAACCCGCATTCACCTGTTGAGCAAGTTGACTCGGCGGAGTTGGAGACATGTCTACAACATACAAAGTTATTGCCCGGGTATCTCTCAAAGGGCGCACAAATCAAGACCTTCCCACCAAAAATTCATCTTTTTACCAGATGTTAACGCAAACCACCTCACTGACAATAAATACTCACTCGGTGTGAAAGGTTACTGATAAGTGATAGTAAACAAACAGTTATCACTTACTATTTCTGTCATCATTATCGTCGTCGGGAAATAGATCGACGACGGGATCGGGTTTTTCAGTGCGCGATTGCTCGGAGGCGTTGTCCTCGTTCACGTCTTGATCGTAACGACTGACCGATGCCATAAAGTCTAGGTGCCTCTTCTCCTCCTCCAGCTGAGCTACAGCTTGCTCACTTGCCTGCAAACGTTGCTGGGTGGAAGCTAGCTCATCGCGCAGCCACGCGTTCTCCTGGCACAAACGGCGAACTTGCGTGCGTAGTTTTTGTTTTTCGGCCTCGACCATTTGTAAATGGGAGGCGAGTGCCATTATCACCTGCAATTTATCATTTTATTATTTTTCACAATTTATTCTACATTTGTTTATAAACTACGTTTGCTGCCGATTTTTTTTTAAAATTTGATTCCATTAATTTCTGTAATTAATGACACAAAATTTATTCTTTGAGAGTAAACACTGATACTGCCATGTTGAAGGCTTGTGGTGACATACCCCTGCGGTTAGGCAACACACCCTACTTTTGAAAAAATCGCAGTATGAAACAAACAAATACGAAACGCGTCAGTTTGATAATGGGATTCGAAGCAGAGCTTTAGTATATGGGGGATTTAGCGTTTAGGTGTTTATTATTCTAGTTATTATCAGTGTTTTTGTTGCTCTGTACGTTTCGATTTAGCTATTTCTTGGAAGGAGCACCGAATGCAGTTCAGTTATCAGCTATGTTGCTCCTTCATCTCGTGCGGACTACAGCTCTTGTGTCTTAGCGTATACGAGAAGGGGGTCCTCTAATTTGATGTTTTTGTGTATAAGTCGTTCAACTATTTCCGCAAAGGAAGTGCCTAATACAAAACGCCCGGCGTTTCGACTTGAAATTTGAATGGCTTTGCTCGTAGTTTTTTCACCCAGAGTTGCCAACTGTAAGTACAGGGTAAGTCACGATTGTAGTGCCGGTTTGGGGAACCTGTAGGATCATTACAAGGTGGTGGTCCAATTTTTGATGTTCGTCGTGGAGATTAAAAGCGCATTTGCAATAGCTGTATAAGTAGATACATCGATATGTGACAATTATTCATTACAAAAAAAGAAAAACTGATACAATACAGAAACTAAATCGGCATATGAGCAATTTCTATCGTAGTTAATACCGACGTCGTTATAATTAGCAGTGGAATAACCCTAAAATTAAGACATTACATAATTTTACGTCTGCTAACTTCGAAATTTATGAGGGAAATTTAATTATTTTAATAGACTTCTCACAAAGTTACTTAAAGTTTTCTTTGGAAATTAACTCAATATAGAGGTCGTGTTCAAAAATTGGAATCCAGCGAAAAACAAAACATCATTTATTCAAATTACCTGGTCCCTAAATCGTCAAGAAACCTTGATTTTTCATGCCTACTTTTCCGACCGCCTGTCACTTTAACTGACTCCTTTTCCTGCCGCTTTGCATTATCACATTTATGTTGCCTAATGACTCCTGTCATCACTGGCATATTGATATTAATCAAAAGTTCTACATGACAATTGAAATTTTATATTAAAAAAGACTATAACATTTATTAACGAGCGACCCAGCTTGCTCATGATTTCGAATTTTCCAATTCTGTTTTCAGTAATTAATAGCCAATGGTCAAGGGACTAACTAATTAAATGTTGGTCATTTGGAAACCGTTTGCGAGTTCGTCAGGGACACAGACGGAGTCCAAATAACCAAAATTTAATCAGTTCCTCGACCATTTTCTACCAATTACTGAAAACAGAATTGGAAAATTCGAAACTGTTCGCGAGTTATTATGTACGCAGACGGACGGACGGACAGAAAATCCAAAATTGGTTTCAATAATCAACTTACGAAAGGCGTCCATCGAACCTATATATTTTTTAGGTTGGTATTAGCACATTTCACGTGAAAGTGAAATAAAATTCCAGCACATTTCACTTCACAAATTTCCGGAAGGTTCTTTCACTTTCGACTTTCATGAAATAACTTTCAGCAGGTACTACGAGCTTTAAAGCTCTGGAAGCTTCTGGAAAGAACGTACAAATCTGTAAATCGTGACTAGGAAGTTCTGGAAAACTCCCAGGAGGGATTTCGAATTCCTAAAAACGACGCCAGGAACCTTGGACAGGTGCAGAGGGTTGTAAAAGCTCTTTCCAGAATATTTTAAGGTAACCGAAAACTGTGTAAATTTCAGAATTGCAACCATTTTGTTCCTAATTGATACGATTACTTACAACGATGAAATTGGTCCCACTGATCAGAAATTGTACAATAAAAAAATAATTTATTTTATGTGGTATCCCGAAGATTACCCTCAAGTTTATTGCGGCACACCCCATTTGCTGATTTCATGCGAAAGCTTCAATTATTTCCCTTTCTCGCTAATTAATTTGAAATCATATTCCATGTAAAGCGACAAATAGGTACACCCTTTGTATGTCAAGTAGGGGAAGAAAATCACAATGCCAGATCTCGAAATTTAATTAAAAGCACGTACGTGGCTTCCTTTATTGTGACAAGACCACTTTAGGTCTACTATGAAAAAGTAGCTGGAATTTAAATTGTCAACCTTGCTTAATTTAAATGAATGAGTAAGTGAGCGAGTGAGTGACTTTAATTCCGCACACTTTCATCCTCAAAGAAGTCCTGTTTATAATTTAATCAATGCTAAATGTACTTGACCCCCACAGGGAATAGGCGTTGGTCCTAATGAATTAATTTCGTGTGCGTGATTTTTAAGAAAAAAACGATCCAGGTAATTTGAAATTCAATAGTTTCAATGTCATTTGGAGTTGAGCCTTTTTCGTCGGCGAGCGAGTGCATTGTAACATGAGGAAATATATCCAATCCACGTAACCTCCCCCTAGTTGAAAGCATGAGTCATCGCGCGATCAATGAAAGGCCAGACGAACGGACGTTCCGCTCTCTTTCTTTCGTCGTACGTTTCCTTTTCTTTTATTACTTTTTCGATCGCAATTTCGAGATGCAACGCAAACTCGAAAGTTGTATTAAAACATTGACACCAATTCGACGCGTTGGCGCCGGCCGATATTTATAGACGAATTTTCCGAATTTCGTTCGCCGCAGAAGAGAGGAGGAAAACAAAACGGCGTTAAAGGGCGCCCTTGACCTTCTTCGATTTCCAGGCTTTTGCCAAATTTCGCTGAAATAAAACCCCAATGCGATCACGAACATTTTTCATTAGGATACGCCTCCCACGCTACATTTCTGAAATAAACTAAAAATACAATGCGAGAGTCGCTGCTTCGAGAAGGCTGTGTGCATCGGGGATTAAATTTAGTACGCCCTTCGCTCAACCAAATAGGGGTGCGTTATTTTTTTATACGACACGTCGCCAAGACAAATGGCAGATCCAGTTTATTCCATCAACTTAGAGCTCCCTACCTAAAATACACTAATCTTAATGTCTTAGCCAGACAACTTCAAAAAAATAGGTGGTGACTATACTAGCATTAGTTATATGAAAACAAAAATTGACAGGATACCGATAAATGGTACATGACAATGAGATAATGAGGGTCATAAAGAGGATTTTGAAGTCGACTCATATGAAAATCAACGGTCTTCATTTTGAAAATCTATTGTAACTATTTGTTTATACATTATACTTATTATGTTGACATTATCATTATTTTCTTTTTAACTGTATCCCTCATTTGCCTTTATTTTTAAGTGGGTAGAGTTCAGCCAAGGCTGTTCCGCCTACCCAACCCACAATACACTTACAAATATCCATGCCCGAGCCCGAATTCGAACCAGGAACCAGCTCATTGCTAGAGGTAAACCAAATTTTTTATACAAAATTAGCTTATAACGCATCTACTTAGAAACACCCTGTATACACTAAACAAAAAATGCGTTTATATACAGGGTGATTCCTATAGTACCTGCCACCGTTTGGGAGCGTATAGGGGGTGCCTAGGGGAGTATTTTGATATAGGACACTTGGGGTCGGAAATCTAAAATCAAGGGCGCCAGAACCAAATTTATCTTCTGGAATTTCACGCCTGTATGTAGGCAACCCAACCGACCGACGTTTCGCGCGGAGCGATGCAGAGCGAGTTAGCGCGAGGAAGCGACATGGGAGGGAAGGAGGGAAAACGACAGTCAAAAGCAATAACGTTTACAAGTGTTCAACGTGGCCACCGTTGTTCTCAATGCACTTCCTACATCTAGCCAACTATTATTATACTATTGCCATAGTGTTTATTCACTTGATACGCGTCGTTGCAGACGGGATTTCGTGGGTTTAAACAAAATTCTGATCAAGTGTCAGCCACACATCGCCGCCTGAGATCGCTCCGTGTGCACCGCCGGCCGGTTGGGTTGCCTACCTACAGGCGCGAAATTCCAGAAGGTAAATTTGGCTCTGGCACCCTTATTTTAGATTTCCGACCCCAAGTGTCCTATATCAAAATACTCCCCTACGCACCACCTACACGCTCCCAAACGGTGGCAGGTACTATAGGAATCACCCTGTATATTTTTTAAGTAACATATACATACATATTTTATATTTAAATACAATACCAGGAAGGGAATGTTTAAAAAGGAGGTAAAAATTAAAAGTTATCGTCAAATAAAAAATTAGTTCGTCAGGGTACAATTTTTCAGATGACCTAAGTACCGCCTTTGACTTGAGGTCGTCCTATATGAAATATGGCCCAGTGTGTTGATCTCTTCACCAAGGCAGTGTAATAACGAATTGAAGTAGATCTTCTCGCCATCGTTGTTGGGCCCAGAATTTCAAAGAATTTTCGTGAACATTCAAAACCAGATAATACCGTCAAAGAAAAAGAGGGCCTGATGGCGACCTCACACTTCTGGCACATTGTATGGTCGCCAGGGGCGGACTGTAACTTTTGAACTAGTAGCCCAATTTTGGAACTGTTTGAAATTATGGATTCTACAGGCCACATTCTATAAAAAAAAATTTTTTCCGGGTAGATCTGAGACAATTTTTTTTCGGAGCTCAAAAAAAGGCAGTGTATAACCTTCCTTTTTTACCAAAAATCGACTGCACGAACATTTCTCGGGAAAACACTTTTTCTTATTAATTTTGGTGCGTAGAATCTAAAACAATTCGTACTTTTTCGATCGGACGTCTCAATCAAAAGTTTTAATTATCAGCTGCAAAAAAAGGAGTACTAAAATGAAGCAAAAAAATGTTTTTGTGGGTGCACCGCAGAGCTCCCCCCCCCCCCCCACCTTCATTACTACACTAATACTTTAATGGCCCGTAACCTATGCAATTCCACCTGGCCCGTAAGTACCCAGTCCGCCCCTGATGGTCGCTCATGGCCTTAAAGTGTCTCTTCCTTGCCGACCTTTGCAATCATCTCCTGAATTTCGGCCACCATAAGTTGTGAAGTTATAGTGTATTTGAATACTTAGTCACCACCCGTTTCCCCAGCCTCGCGGAGAGTTGTAGTGCTTTTTCGGGCCTTTTAATTATATATATCTTAAACTCTAGAAAAACTTTAAAAACAAACGCTCACAAAACACTTTAAAACATTCGCAGGTGAGTTAAAGAACGTTCAATCGCCCGGACTACGGCTAACATAACCTGTTCAACACATACAAACACCTCTGAATGCTAAACAAAATTTTAACCCAACCAAAGGAATGGTATCAGTGAAATTAGATGCGATTTTCTCATCAATAAAACAAAATAACTAAAATTCGTTGTATGGATGTTTTAATATCAATAAATACAATACAAAGTTTGTTCAAGGCAAATCACTTTCACGGGTGGTCGATTCCTTTAGGAATATTAATATTCCTAAAAGTATAGTCACCACCTATTTTTTTTAAGTTGTCTCACTAAGTTTATGGACATCTAATCTTAACTTATGTTACCAGTATTTTGTCTTGATGGCACCGGCATGAGCTGGGTGAGAACCAACCTGAAATATTTAACGGCTTATGAGCACTTTGCCCATCCGGTAGTCTTTATGACGCAATTTTTCAACGTGGACATCGATGAATGCAATCTACCGATGACGAGAGAACTAAATGTCTTTTAGAGACGACAAATGACACATTTGATCCTACAGTCGTACAAGTCGCTTTTTGCGTAATAAGATACTGCAACAATTAACGAGGTCGGATGACTCTCGAGACGATGGTCGAACCGTTCCAACGCCATGAAAGCGCCATTAATTACTGTTGCCTGTTACTGCTTTACGTAACGTCGTTTACGAGAATGAGGGACGATTAAAGTGTATTTTTAGTTGGCAGAATGAGGTTTTACGACCGAAAGACACGCGATTAATTTGTGCAGGTACGAACTTACCTGCGCTTCTCCCAGCCCGAGCTCGATCATATCGGCACTTTGCTGAACAAGTCCCGCTCGTTCTGACGCAATTGGATCAGGTGCATCGTGAAGACCGTGCAGGATGCCGGCGTGCTCGGAACGCAGCGCCTCCAAGCCTTGGGCCACCGTCCGAACGGCGGAGACTATCTCTTCTTGAGTCATGGCGGTCATTTTTCCAAGTGTCTCTATTTTTTTACTGAAAAAAAGGGGAACAATTGAAAATCGTTCAACACTAAGCGCCACGTGTACAACTCACATTCTGTACGCGTTAATCGTTTTCGACATTTTTCCGTCAAACTTGAGCTGTTCATCTATTATTGAGCGTACAACTTTGTACAAAAGGCGATTTGATTTGTGAAAAAATAGCGAGGTATTCTACTTATAAAGCTAGCGTGCACGATTCTATTATTATCTGAAACTAAATGAAAAACGCGAATTTATCAATAACCTGTCAAAAAACACAAAGAAAGAGAAGTTGTAATTTGTACGGCCCTTTTATATTTCCTGCGAGTCGATAAACCAATTTGCGTTCGTCTTCAAAAGCATAAGTCAATTTTACGCTTTATTAGATTTTGTAGAAGCGATGCAGGTCATTGTTTAATTAAAGACCGTGGAAAGTTCTCCTAAATTGATCTTTCTGAATAGCGAGTCTCATAATTAGGTTTCGTTTCCCCATTGCGACTCCGGATTCATCTGTCTCATGCTAATTTTCGATTGTTTAACATTCTAGCAACGTTTCGTATTAGAACTGAGCAGTTATCAATGTATTTTGTTCATTCTTTATGTATTCGGTACCTTATATGTAGTTGTGGCACGAGCGACAAGATAAATCTTGACAATTGACTTTTGAAAACGGTAAGCTAGCCCCCCTCCCCACCCTCCAAAATGGGTCATGGTTTAATCGTGATGGGGCTAGCTTTAATTCAGGTGGCGCAATTGAGCGCATAAGATGTACCAAGTGGCATAGATACCAGCTACAAAATACGTAGTAGGTGGAGGAAGGGGGGGGGGCTACGTATACTTGCCCCTCCCCTTCCTCCAATGTGCTTTCGTATATCTATAAAACGACATGCCCCAATCGGTGGCACATGTAAGCGCATTACTTTAGAAAAATATCACTATCAAATTTCCAGGTGGGTTGGGGGCACGTTAACGGACCCCCGTTACCATTGTTACCCAGACATTTTTGAAAAAAACTGTCGGAGATGAAGAACCCTAAATACTGCGAGCCCATGGTGGAAATATCTAGTTTTAGGCCATAAGTTTTCGAAAATCCACGAAGCAGATGGCCAAGTTTAATTCCCCCTTCTGCCTTTATTTCAAAATAGATAGAATATTTTGTTTTGTTTCCAATTTTCACGGCAATATTATGTGCGTCTTGGCCACTTAAGATTTTATCCTTATTCGTATTCGGCAAGCAGATGAGGATGTAAAAAAAATGGTTGGTTGTGAGGACTAAACAAACTGAATCAAAAATGGATCATTTTAGAAGCTCACAGTTTTTCTCAGGAACTACAACACGTGGAATGATGGACTAGGTTTTGGTTATACTCTTCCTGATTTTTAAAAATATTTCCAAAATTCCTACTCCACGCCGGTGCACTGCAGGAAGGGGGGGGGGGGGGGGGGGAGAGATTTTAATTCGAAAAAATTGCATCAAGATCGTTTAGAGACGTGTGGGAGTTTCAGAAATATTCTCACAAAATCAGAGCCTATATCACCCCTTTTGACAAGAGCATCTCACTTAATGTAACCAGTTGCTATGCAAAAAACAAAAGAAAATGTTCAAGAATGCTATGGAGAACAAAAATTTCAGATTATGTTCAATTGTTTTAAAATGTGGTTTTATGAATGATTGTTTTCCAAAAAAGTAATTGTTAATATGTGACAATCATTGAAAAGAGGTGGAATAACTGATGATAACTCTCAAACAGAGGACCTTGGGTCTTGAAACTTGTACCTCTTGGTCTAAGTAACAACCTTACCGAAGATGGGCTTGAAACCTCTCTAAAACCTGATTAAACTTTCAACGCCACAGCTTGCGACGTGTTGAAGTTGCACCCTTTATATGAAGGTATTTTATTGAATAATGCCCTTATTTAAGAGTTGATACCAATCACAATGTGTGATATAATTAGTGCCCAATCACCCCTAATTTACCAACGAGAAAATTGGAAAATTATTTCCAAAAAATAATTGGTGGTGGTGGTGGTATTGGTGGAAGGGTGGATATGGGTTAATTTACGTAATATAATATCACACTATTTGATGTAATTAGTGCCCACACACTAAATTTGACTCGCCGGTCCACATGCATATTTACATCTACCTACCTATGCATAATTTGCCAGAAAAACAATTGTAATATTATGACCTTAAAAATGGCGTAATGGCAGACCCCGCAAATGGTGGGAGTGGGGACGCTCCTTGCTGGAAAATTGGTGTGTTTGCTATCACATTTTTATTCTCAATAAACACAAGTGATAACACTAAGCTTCATGTGGCCTAAAAGCGAAAACGCGCATGCGCACAACAGCAGCATTTTAAATTATCTTGGGAGTAACCAATGAATAAAGAATACCAGGAAGGAGCATTAATCAAGTTGTATACGAGAGAGTGCGACGGAAGTCGGCCATTTGCAAAAGCCACTTATGAGTCATTTTTGTTGTGCCTGTTGCAGTGACATAAAAAGAATGGTTAGTTGTTGTGCATGTGGTTGCTCCAAAACAGAAAAAAATAATACTTTTGGAATTACATTTCATGTGTAAGTATTGATACCAATATTATTTTTATATATTACATGTAAATTTACAAATTTTTTATCGGAATGTAGGTTGATGTTAGTTAAACAAAAGTCATAGGCGGAGTAGACACATGGGGGTTTAGATTGTTTTCGTGTAAAATTCTTTATAATTGTATCCTTCTACAACTGTAAGGTAGGTACGCCACTGGAACAGGAAACTACTGTCCGCCATTTGCAAAAGCCATCGCGGTCGCACGTATATTGTTGATATTCTCCTTCCTGGTATTCTTTAATTATTGGGAGTAACTTATCCAATGTTGAAATGCGTCTGCGCATAAGCGGCGATCTTTTCAACAAAAATTTTTCTTTTTAGTGCAGAAATTTTAAACCTCACAGGCGAATGGAGTATGGACACAATTCACGCAGGTATTTTTCATGAGAAAATGCGCTAAAAAAGACGCCAAAACCAAATAAAAGATCAGTTTTAAACATTGAGCGATTAATAGTACATCGACGTCAGTCTAAAAATATCAATATCGCAAATAACGCCGCATTGATCTGTAATGTTTATTTTACGGCAAAGGGTTTACCAACAATAGACAACTAAGCAAACATTTACTAAAATATTTAAAGTAATGCCAAGAAATATTTTAATCAGGGAATTAATTGGTTAGAACTGTAAGTTACGTAGGGTAATTACGCAAAACCACGCGAGAGGCGGCTGCAATTCGTAAACAATGCAACACACCGCATTATACCGTACGTTTTCCAATAAAAGCGCTTTATGGTGGCGAATTCGGAGGGTGACCGATTTACGTGCCGCGAAACTAAAAATCATCGATTTGGCATAAATGGAGCCTGCGGTCGTAAATAGGACGACGTAGATGCTTAATTACCGCACACCCTGTATATACCACCTAATAAAAAAATCCATTCCGTAAGCGCACGCAAATTACAACTTCGCTTCCGTTTGGCGACAAGGTCGTTAAATTAAACGCCAGCGAGGGAAAAAAATGCCCAAATATAAATTTGTGCCCATTTAAATGCGTCACGGACGATTCGAAAGCCCACGTTAATTTAACTATCTGCTCTAATTACCGCCTCGTCGGCCAATCGCACAAATTATAAAGACAAAAAGCACAGCGTAATTATTTTGATTTTCGTAATTTAAGTCTTTATCTTCGCGTTTACATTTTAATCTAATTTCGAGGAGCGCGAACTTCGCTACGCGACGCGGACGTTTTGTTACTAATGCGGTGGCGACGGTGGCCGTCACGACGCCCGCAGTGCTGCCCCACGAGCAGGCGCGCGGCACTAGAGAAGTTATGCGCGAAAATTCCAGTCACAATTTGGTACTGTTGATAAATGGCTAATCTCATGCGGCGATTTCCTTTCTTATTTTGAAGGGGCCTCATACACAATGGAGTAAAAATGACACATTTTAAGAGCTGTTTCGACTGTATTAATACAATCTGTACCGTTACCGAAAGCCTCATGCTGAATTACCCAGTTAAAAACAAAGCTACTACACTACACTACAATAGTAGGCCTGCTAACTACTGAACATTGATCGAACGTAACACAATTACGGGTACACTTACGTATTATCATCCATACCACGAGAACGGCACCCAAGACGGCCACTTGTCGTGGAGATCCAGAGTTGGTGTTTCACCTGTAATGTAAATAGAGATGAAGTGTTTTCGGGGAATTTATTACTCAGAACAATTGAACATCTGATGTGTTATTGTGAACTAATATACTAGGCCCCCCCAGTAAAGAGAAGTCCGCAGAACTTACATAAAACGACGACAAGCTTCCAACAGGCGTTTCGCGAATAAATGCAGGTTGTCTTTAATATAATTTAACAATTTTTTTTAAAGCTATGGCGGATGAAATCACAAAAGTATCGAAGTTAAGATCATCACTGTGGAAATTCAGCCGAAGGTCAGCGCCATCTTTTATTATTTACGTGTGAGTTCTGGTTAAAATTTATACCGAGCAGTTTACATACAACGTGACACCTATAAAATATTTAAAGCGGGCTATACACTGAAAACAGAAATGTTAAAATTCTCCATTAACTTCTCATAGGCACAATGATAACGGACGGCATGTGCCTTATTACTCTGATTTCTTCCATTTTTTTCCATTAAATTGTTAAAATCGCTACAGCGCTCTGGTAGGAAAAAGTTCAACTGAAATACTATTACCGTTAGTTTCTTATTAGTCCTTTAATTGGACAATTATTTCAAATCTTAATTAAAATACAAATGAGAATCAGCACAGAATATAAATAATGAAGAATTCACAAGTTAAAAGATTCAAATTTTGTCGAGATTCACTATGTACACTTAAACTTACATTTGAACATAAACAGTGAGATCAGTAATTTAAAGTGCAACGTTGACTTAGTCAATAAAAGATTAATAAAATCACTACTGAGACGATTGAGACTGTGAAGAAATAGAAATGGAATTGGGCGATTTCGCCCGGCAAGTCGGATTTGGATTACTCTTCACTTTAAAGTACCTCAGCAGTGGGCTTTTCGACGACGACGACGATACGGGCAAGACATCCGACTTTTTCGATTTCGGGCTCGAACCGTGGTCGAATCTCGGAATTTTCGACGGGCTCGACCTCGACAGTTCCTCAACTTGTGTTAGCTGTAGTCTTTCCAGTCGTAACTTTGTCAGCCAGTCCCTCTCTTGTTTTTTGACGGGTGATATATTTAAATGAGGCGCGGATCCGTCCATCACGAAGTTGGGTAGGTTATCGAGAAGCGTTTGGCCTTTCGTCGAGGTAAAGTCAAATTTAAAACGTTTCAAGGGTTTCGTTTCGTAAACGTTCAGGTCAATTGCAGTTAGAAGCTTTCTCTTATTTGGCGTGTCCGTTTTCATACATTTCTCCATTCGTTTGGATGCATCTGAAATGGTAAAGATGACAAAGATCGATATGCCTGTTGGGAATCAATGGAAATAGGTTCGAATGGATGGAAATAGTAGCGAAACTGATGGAAATAAGACGATATTAGTACTGAAATGGGAAGCCCTTTCTTGAAAAATATGCTAAAAACAACAACTTCAAATGCCAAAATACTAAATACAGAAACAAAAAAGATATTGGACCATCTGCATTTTTAAAAACATTCACAGTTTACTATTATGGTCCAGTAATACTAGGATATTATCATTGTATTTATATCGTTTATAAATACAATGATATTATGTAGCAATAATTCCTTAAAATGTATCCAAACTCAATGACCTCCACTTCTTTGCGGTGTCATATTCTGCTTTCAAAGCCAACAGAGGTCAATGACCCCATCTTTGTGTTGACCTTGAGAATGAAAAGTAACAATCTTGAAAATGAAACATGAAACCCAGAAAATAGTGCAATTGACCTCTGACGATCTTGAAAATAAAATACTAAACCGCAAAAAATTAGAGGTCATGGAATTTTAATTACCTTGACAATTCAACTCATGTATAAAAAATCGCATAAGCCGCAGTGCAATTGTCACTTTGACAGCGGCAAAAGTTACCTGCAACTTTTCCAGCGGCAAATGCACTAGTGGTTTTTTCACTTCTTCATTTTCGAACCAATTATCACATTATCCTTTCCCATATGACTAGTTTGACGTCTGCCAATAATTGATTAGTTTGGTGAATTTCTTGTTCGTTAAATTGTCCTGCCGAATTACACTCGAGGTTTGTATTGAAACCGAGTAAATTTGGGTTGTTGCAATTCAAATCTGTTTCCTTTTAGCAATTGAACTCGAAAAACTGTCAACCTAAAAATGCTCCACCTTCGGTGTCGCATTTTTATTAGTTGACAGTTTTTCTCGTCTAATTGCTAGGCAACAGATTTTCATTACCTTAACAACCCAAATTTACTCGGTAAAATACAAACCTCTTGTGCAATTATAAGTGAAAATGAAATGACACTTAAAAATTGACCTTGAAAATAAATGACATTACAAAAATGGGGTCATTGACCTTTAGTGACCATGGTAGTAAAATGTCAAAATGTGACACCGCAAAAATGGGACCGTCGACCTTTAAAACTAATTCCCACCTTTGCCTAGTTTCCAAGGCCACAGTCACTTAACAGGTGACCTTTACCTTGACTTTCCAAAGTCACTACCAGATGGCGAGCGACTTTGAAATGGTCCAGGGCGGGAAGGAGAACTAGGATAGAAATGAACGAAGGAAATTGGATGAAATAGTCTACAACTACACAATGAAAGGATCCTGGAATTGTACATACCACATTCCAGTGTTGGAAAATCGTCCAGAACCTCGTGCTTTCGTTTGGCAACATTAAGGGACAACGGACTTGATTTACATTTTCGAGCTGGCGATGTGGTGGTGGCAATTACTTCTACAGCACGATTGCTATTCTCAGACGCAGATATCTCGGTCACATCCGCACAAACCCTCCAAACCTTATGTCTTAAATCGTCCGAACATGTAATAACAACATTGCTGTTGTCTTCACACCACGCAACACACGTGACTTCCGCATCGTGTCCGCTTAATTTTACCAAAGGATTTGAATTCTTGACATTCCAGATATATCCGTCGTGATCACTGCTTCCCGATAGAATGTAGTTATCGTCAGGACTCAAACAAGCTTTCACATAATATGTACTGTTCTTGTGGCCCACATATTTCATTACAGGCTTCGGATTATAGGTGGCTAAATTGTATACATAAATAGCATTGTCTAGGCAGCTCGCGTACAGTTTTGTGCCATTAGAATTCATTAATAAATTACTATAGCCATACCGTAACGTATCCCCACTATACGGTAGTGAATACTTTGGAGTAGGGATTTTATCTAAAGAGTAGTACGTTTTTCTGATATCCCAAACTTTGATCACTCCGTCGCCTGCACCACAAGAAATTAGAGTATTGCAGTCTTTAAAAATAACACCGGTAACGGAGCTGGAGGCCGAGACCTCACGTACTTTACCGGATACGCGTTGCACATGTGTTAGCGGTATCAAAATATCGGTAACACCGAAAAATTCGTTCGTCCCCATTCGTGTGTCCCAAATTATCAACCGTCCATCTCTACTGCCGGTCGCAAAAATCGAATCGGCGTCCCTACAGCAAGCCACCGTTTTTAAAGACCGTTTATGACCCTGAAACATGCGCACGCATGTCACGCCACCTTGGCTTACATCAAGAAGCGAAGCCATATGATCACCGGATGCCGTTACCAGTTTCATCGCGTTAGGCATCCACGCGATATCAAAAATCGCATTATTATGCACGCTGCAGCCCAAGCGCGATTTGGTATCTTTATTACAGATTGCGATGCGCCCTTCTTCATTGGCAAGGGCGTAAATCTGCCGGTAGCCTGAAACATTCGTTGCAACACTGGTTAAACCACCCGAAGCGACCTTACCTTTAAGGTGGGCAAATTTACAAGCAAAAATCGGTGGGTCGGCAGCGGCTTCGAATTCCGAATTGTCGTACGGCAAAATTCGAGAAAAATCTTCATCTTTCGCACACCACAGTCGTTTAATAGCCAAATCGTAATTGGTCAATCTCGCTAAAAGCATTTCACTATAGGCCATTGAATTATGGATAAACAATGAATTACGTAAATTTACTACTTACAAAGACCGATTTGTTGATCAATTAGACTCTGTACAATACTCATTGCGGCAATAGTTCAAAAACACTTAATTACATTTTCTACGCGGGAAAAGAGTGTAAACGTATAAATAAAAAGGTAGGTTATGTTTACTGTTTAGAGTTGGCGGTTGTGGTTCAGCTCCCATACTGGAACTGCAGCACGGGGACATGGGAGACACTGTTTGATTTTCTGCCCCTGTACCTGAAAATTTAAATTTGTTGATAGTTTCGAGCTTATGGAATCCCATAAGATAATTGAGGGAAATATCGGCCGAATTCATCATTCATCATAACATATTTATTGACGTTTTTATTAAAATCGAGAATGACAATTCAAAATGCGTGCGCATGTTATTTCGGTTGCATACAATTAGGCGTCTTTCAGAAGGATTTTGGTCGTTTAAAACTAGACATAGGAAATCCGGAATCCCTATGTCTACTTCTAAATAAATAGCACTGTGTATGCCGGTTCGTGTGGTGCAGTTGAGTTGAAGTCCGGCTGCAGTACCAAGGGCCCCTGGTTCGGGCATGGAGATTTGTAAACATATAGCAGGTTGGGTTGGTAGAGCAGCCTTGGACAACGACGTATTGTCTTTTATTAATTGGCATCATTCTTCTGTTTCGTAACAGAACGAGATTTTCTCCGATTCACATAGTTTGCATTTATCAACTTACATCCTTGAAATTAACATAAGTACATAGATATGAGTAGCAACGGTAGCATATAATGTCAGAGCCATTTTAAGTGTTTCAATTTAGATTTTCGATTTTACGTAAACACAGCTGAAAATGATCAAGCACAATCTCGAAGAGTTGTGTAAATCTCTTTCTTGTTGCATTAAACTGACGCATTTTGCATGAAATATTTCAGATTTGGAAAGGGTGAACGGACTAACGGACATCATAGAATCCAAAACAATTCATACTTTTTCGATCAGACTTCTCAATCAAAAGTTATAGACTAGAAACCAATTTCGAAAAAAATTCAAAAGGCTGTAACTTTTGAACTAGTAGCCCAATCTTGTAACTGTTTGAAATTATGGATTCTACAGGCCACATTCTATAAGAAAATGTTTTTTTCCGGTCGATCTGAGACAATTTTTTTTTTCGGGGCTCCAAAAAAGGCTGTGTACAACCTTCCTTTTTTTCCAAAAATCGACCACTCCAAAATTTCTCGGGAAAACACTTTTTCTTATTAATTTTGGTGCATAGAATCCAAAACGAATCGTACTTTTTCGATCAGACTTCTCAATCAAAAGTTATAGACTAGAAACCAATTTCGAAAGAAAGTTCAAAAAGCTGTAACTTTTAAACTAGTAGCCCAATATTGGAACTGTTTGAAGTTATGGATTCTACAGGAAAATGTATAGATACACTTAGATATCATGTATTACTCTTTCCCTAACCTACTCAAGTTACTATACACAAACAAAAAACTGGCGTTTCCTAGTTGTTTTCTGTACTAAGATAAAATCTTCCGATAGAGTGCGGTTCCTTCTCATACCCATCGCCCATTACAGCAGTGGCACCATTACAATTTCCTCGCACGAACTCTTCCCAACTTTGACATTCCTTTGCCTTAAAGACACGATTGTTGATTGACTCAATAAAGTAGTGGTAACTTTTTCTGTGGCTGCAGAAGACTAAAACAATGGTAACGTGCTAAGAGTAATGCGATGGCCCCGCTTACTAATATCTTCGAGAGTATAATTTGGCTGCGACAATATCATTGATTTGGTGCATCCAGGTTGGTGTCGCTGCCCACTGTTGGGGTAAAAATCGACAGTTCCCACAGGATTTCGCATTCCAAAGAAACCGCCGTCTGCATGTATCACGTCTACTATTTCCGCATCGGTCTTTCGCAAACCTTGCAATATCGGCAGCAGTTCGAATAGCGGGCCCGCTGGGTCAAGTGCACTGATCCTCTTTACGGTTGCATTTAGCAACTGCGAGATTCTCCGGCTGGCATAGGCCGCTATGTGCGAGCCAAGGGAGTGCCCAATTATGTGCACGTTGGACAGGGGCAAGTTGTTCTCCACTATTACGTCTCCAAGTTCTCGCCCTGGAACCGTAATGTGCTATTTTTGTTGGTTGGTAACCCACCAATTTACCGATGTTTTGCGTATTTTTTGCTATTAGCAGATAACTTCCGAAAGCAATCGAGCCCCAATCCACTTGAATGAAGTTAAAGTCGCCCTTTTTCAAGTACTCATCCTTCATTTGGTCATACCACACGTCCTTTGCAGTCTGAAGGAATCCGTGGATTAGAAACTTTGTCCCTTTGCTACCGTCAAGGTTTTGTAATAGTTGTGGCGATGACGGATTGTTCCTGGTGTACAAGTAGTACTTTACTTGTCCCGTTACTGCAATTAAATCTTATTACTTACAGCGAAATGCAGATTTATACTCGCCTAGCGCTGGTAGTACAAGAAGCACAAGGAACATGTTGCGTTTCTTTACTTGCTTTTAGTAGCAACTAAATACTCACATAATCAGTAGGTAAATACCTATTCGCATATTTAAAATTATGGTACAAGGCGACACTGACCTAATCTCTATCAAATTAATTTAATTTACTTCGCAGACAGTAATAGTCTATTATAATTTAGGGTGACCATTTCTAATTAGTAAAATGTAGACACACACAGATCAAGGTACGATCTATTATATCTTGTTATTCACACGAATAACAGGCTTATTTACAAAGACCCGCTAATTTAATAAACATGGTGATGAATTCTTGAAGGCCAGGATTCAGTTTTTAACATTTTAATATACTTACCCTCGACCACTCTCTTTTGCGAGAGTTTTGCTGAAAATTAGAACGTTATGACTGACCAACATGTTTCATTTATCTCAAAACTCTTCTGTTTATTTACGGTAGAAGCAACAAAACACTAGCAAATTTTTCGAAATAACGTCCCAAAATTTGTGAATATTTTTAATTAAAAAAAATTGTAGGCATAACATGTAGGTACCTATTATGTACCTTATATTAACGGTGCAAGATTTGCGCGAAAAGTGCTGTTGCTTCATGGTCGTAATTACATAGTTTCTTACATAAGTATGGTCGTATAATCTGTAATAGCTGTATCTGATGCAATGTAAAATGTAATGGTCTAATGAATACGTAAATTACAATAATAGACGAAGTGTGCGACATAGAGACAGACAGGTATCGATGGATTCATTGAATGGGGGTGAGCGAAATTAAAGAAGTAAATTAAAATGAACGAAAGAACTAGGTGAGATTAATTGTGATGTTGCTCTGTAACTGGCTTTGCTGTTGAGCAATAAATATATATTTATTTATTTATTTATTTATTTATAGGTTCCTTCAAAATCGGCCCTGTATGAAGCAAAATGTGACTAGGATTATTTTTTCTCTGGTTAATACCCTATAAGGGTTGTAGTTCAGCACCTAAGACATATTTATAGACCTCATAGAATTTAAGAATAAAATAAAAACATTTTTAAGTAGTCAATGTTTTTATAGCTATGAAGAATGTTTAACTTTTGATTTTACCTGTGATACTTCTAAATATTTCTTTAGATAAGTGACTGTGACATTTTTGACGATGTGTAAGTAGGTACTCCATGTATGTTAGCCTGAATAGGTATATGTATTATTATTATTCTACTCTGCACTATTTTAATGCTATTTAGAATTTTAGGAACTGTAGTTATAACGTGAGGGGATGAAAATGAAGGGGATAAAAAGAATTTTTTCAAAAAATAGCTCCTTTGCAAAGCTAGATTCGTACCACCGTTTCAATAACATCGTTAAACTTTTCTGTACAGGGTGTTTTTTTGGGAGCTTAGGTTAAAAGTTTCTGGGAAAGTAAAATAGGTAGGTTTTTGAAAATTTGTACTTAGGAGTTACTCTGAAGGCCGAATCGATGTAAAATATTTTCAAAATGGCCGCACTTCCGGAAACACCGGAAGTAGATAGTAACTTCGTTATTTTAAATGGCAACCCCTATTTTTTATTGCATTTTTGGATTCTACGTGAAATTTCACTTCTTTTGATATCCATATGTCGATATCTACCATTTATGGTTTTTAAGTTATTTTGACTTTAAGAAACAAAATGGCGGATGCAGATGGTACCTTGATAATTGATTACCTACTTGAAAACGGTTGTAGTCATGGCAACCTATTTTTATCAGTGCATAGAGAATGAATAGGGCTTTCTTTTAGTGCACTGAAAAAAAAGTTAAGTTGCGTACGACCGCCGCCCCTATGGATATCCAATTTTATAAAACTTCAAAGACTAAAAACTCAGTTTTTTTAAATGGAATGACCATGTTCTTACTATTCCATGAGATTGAGAATCGAAATGGGCATATTTTGACAATACATGTTCCTATAGCTATCTTTAACAGTTTCTGACTTATTCCCATTTTATTGAATTGACACTATTTTTTTCGGATTTTCTTTTTAGTAGTCGGCCATGATTCTATAACAATTGAATTTTAAACAAATCTAGTGACCCTAATCCATCACCCACTGACTGTTATAGGTTAACATAAGTTTTTCAAAAATCGAAAAACGACTCGCAGTGGTTTCACCTATTTTGGAATTTAATTGTTATTTATGGTGAAATGGGCAGAATCGCGGCGCGTGCTTTCCGTACATTCATTCGAAAACTGGAACTAATGCACTACAAACCCTTGAAGCACAAGTGATACAAAGCTCTACAAGAGAATATTTAAGAAAATGAATTGAATTGCAAGTGCTAGATTAACAAAATAAATTCAATGCAAAATATAAAAAACTTCGTTGAAACATTTTTGGTATGGAATTGTTGCTAGAACAGATATCGCATTACCTCTCTTAATTTCCAGACTTTTACGTTGTTTAAGAAATTCAGTTGAACGACTCGGTTTAGATTTTTCAAAAATTTTCCGTCTTATATCCTTAATAAATGAGTTCTTTATTAATGAATTAATTAGACTAGAACTAGAATCAATGGTATTAAAGAATCCATTCCTTGATTTGTTTAAAATTCGATTGTTATAAAATCATGGCCAACTACTACAAAGAAAATGCGAAAAAAAATGGCATCAATTCCGAGATCAATTCAATGAAATGGGAATAAATCAGAAACTGTTAAAGATAGCTATAGGAACATGTAATATCAAAATATGCCAATTTCGATTCTCTATCTCATGCAATATTAAGAACATGGTCATTCCATTTAAAAAAACTGAGTTTATAGACTTTGAAGTTTCTTAAACTTGGATCTCCATAAGTGCGGTTGTACGCAACTTAGCTTTTTTTTAAGTACACTAAAAGAACGCCCTATTCATTCTCTATGCACTGATAAAAATGGGTTGCCATGACTACAACCTTTTTCAAGTAATCAATTATCAAGGTACCATCTGCATCCACCATTTTTTTTCTTAAAGTCAAAATAACTTAAAAACCATAAATGGCAGATATCGACATATATGGGTATCAAAAGAACTGAAATTTCACGTAGAATCCAAAAATGTAATAAAAAACAGGGGTTGCCAATTAAAATAACGGAATTACTATCTACTTCCGGTGTTTCCGGAAGTGCGGACATTTTGAAAATATTTTACATAGATTCGGCCTTCCTAAGTACAAATTTTCAAAAACCTACGTATTTTACTTTCCCAGAAACGTTAAACTAAATCTCCAAAAAAAACACCCTGTATTATCCAGATATCAAGCACGAAAATTCGATTTTTTAAATGGTAGATGCTGTACTCGGCACGTAAGAAGGCGAAAGATCACGCATCCCCAAAATTCATATTCTATTGATTACACCAATTAATGGGTCACAAAGTCAGTTGACTCCTCCTGCAGTTTCTAACTTATGGCCGTTTGCACCGACAAATTTAAGCGGAGCTTAGCTTAAGTGTAGCTTAAAATCCATGGCAACGATTATTGAGACAATGGTTGCCATGGATTTTAAGCTACGCTTAAACTAAACTCCGCTTAAATTTGTCGGTGCAAACGGCCATTAGTCATCTGCGCATAGAGGCATGGCCCCCTGCAGCCTTCTACGTTCCGGTACCAGTACATAATTTACAACGGAAGAAAAAATTAAGGCGTTGTATAAAATTCCCTAAATAACTAAAAATCAGTGATGGGCACTTGTCCCCATGTTTAACATGAAACTGTTGTTTCTTTAATTTTGAAAAATTCTTTTGCGGTACGGAGGGGGGGGGTAATATTTGTCCTACACGTAAAGAATTATATCCAAAATTGCTTGTTATGCATGCATATAATGATTAGAAACGTGCCATTTGTATTAAATTATAAAAGGTACTTTTCTGTCATTATAGTAAACCTTGAAATATATACGAATCAATAATTTAATAATCCCATAGTGCAAAATTTTTATATTTGCATGTAGTAGGTAACAAAATTGGTACCGAGTATGTTTGAAATACTTTTCGTCTCCTTAATCATGGGTTTGTACGCAAAAGTTTTTAAATTTCAACAGTTCAAATTCATTTCTTAATTCTTAGCCGTGCAAACTTCCGAAACAAGCTACTATCTCCACACCAGACAAACCACACCCCAGCAATTTGACAAAGAACCACCATCCAACTTCAACTCCTCAAAGTTAACCAAAATCATCATACACGGGTATAGGCAGAGTTCAAAAAGGCAGTGGTACCGGCAGATGACCAATGAGTACCTGAAGAGAGGGGACTTTAATATCGTGCAAGTCGACTGGGCGAGTCTTGCATCGGGCAGCTATTTCACAGCCGCTCGCAATACCGCGATCGTTGGTAAGTGTTTACCGCAGCGAAATGCGTTCACGCAATATTCAAGGAGCAAACCTCGGCGAACTGGTAGCGAATTTGCGGCAAAACTCAGTGAAGGTACATTTAATCGGTCACTCTCTGGGGGCGCACGTTGCCGGGCATGCGGGGCGAAGGGTTTTTAAATCGTTAGGAAACAGCAGGGTTGGTCGAATTACCGGATTGGATCCGGCGGGTCCGCTATTCGAATCGCCGCGATTGTTGCGGGGTTTGACGCGGACCGATGCCGAAATTGTTGATGTAATACACACGGATGGGGGTATGTTCGGGTGTAAGAATCCATTGGGTACCGTCGACTTTTACCCGAATGGTGGGGTACGCCATCAACCGGGGTGTTCGCCGTCAGACTTGCGGACGGAACTCCGCAGCTTACATGACATTGGTAGAGTTTCAATTTGATTTTTTTGAGCTAACTGTTTGCTTTCAGTGTTTTGCAGCCACGAGAAGAGTTATGGATACTTTATAGAATCTATTAATAATCGCGTCTTTGAAGGGAGGAAATGTAACAGTTGGCTCAGACGAAATTGTAGCGGCGTTGTTGCGGTAATGGGAGAGGGCTACGTGAGGAAACCAGATTTATTGGGAGTATTTTATTTGAATACTACTCAGTTTTAGCCACTAAAGTTTCCAGAAAATATAATTTCTAGTAGCCAAGCACAACTGCACGATGTTGTCAACGTTTTCCACCTCTGCAATCCGCCAAGGGTTAAATCTTGGACCCCTTCTGTTTTTAGCACATTTTCCAACTTTCTTTGTCCGTGCAAGGCCTTAACTACTCCTACAGATTTTAATATTTAATTCGTTCATTTTGAATTCGGTAGCTTATAGTTCTGGCACCTGAATCAAGAAAAATCTTGATAATTAATGTGCGCATGCGCAATATCAACTTTTTTATTTATTAATGTATTTTGTTGTGCCGACTACTCTTATAGATATTACTGAAGTAACCACTCACCTCTCCCTGCTGCGACTGCTAAAAGTGGACCACCATTTTCTCTTTCCGATTGAAAATAATGAATAAGATTAGAAATAAATTGCTCACTTTTTCTTGGTAAACCTGATGGCATTTTTTTTGTTTTATTAGCCTTAGTCAACTAAGCACAGTTGAGACACCACAAATCAGCCTTTGGTGTAGCATAATTTTTTTTCTTTTCAGAATTATAAATTGCTTTTTTACTTTTATTTTATTAAACGTATTTTCGTAAAAAATCAGTTAACAAATTATCGGTCCGACCGTTATTTTCTAACACACAAGCCAATAACGGCGGCACCTTTAATAAAGTACCAGAAATAATTCTTACAAACTTCCTCTCCTTATTTATATCATACGTGAACAACAGCCTTTTACTTAAAAAACTATCAATAATCGAACAATGACCGACTTCTTTATATGTCTGTGTAAAACTAGAAAACATCTCAATCGAAACACGTAAACATTCATGATTTTTTAACTTTTGTGCTGGAATGTAGACCAAACGAAAATGGTAGCCCAACGCCTTGTACGACGTAATGAGCAACGAAACAACTTTGTTGAACTCCTCTTCCATTTCTTGCTCATCATCCTTCAAAGCCAAGAAAAATTCGAGGCTCGTTTCTTGATTCACACTGAATAAGCCGTCGTCACGAACCGTGTTGGGGTTATACGATCGAGCCGTAGTGAACAATCTTAGAGGTAGCCTTTTTTCCGTGACGAGGTGCTTGGTGAAATAAGTCATGAACGCGTACAAACTGGCGCCGCCTACTAAGTGAGTTCGCGTAAATTCGACGTCACCTGTACACTTTTCGAGGGTGAATACGCTTTTATCTCGAAAATCGGTTGCACAACCTTCGACTATTACGCTCCGACAAAAGTCGGAGTTTGAAATCCTCGTGAAGGATGCGAGGGTGCTCGACATATAGCTCGTTAGCAAATATTCGAATAGTGCAGCGTCACCACGCAAATAGTACAAGTACGGATTAATAAACTTGATTAAGCTGCCACCAATTTCCATGTGACTTCGCGAGGATCGCTGAGACGTGGGCAAATACTCGAAGAGTAGGCGTTCGGTGTCATCTGGGGTGTTCGGATGCAAACTGTTTGGTAACGATAGAACGGCGAGCGCTGCAGATTCTTCGACGCCGTACAAGTAGTTCTTTAGCATCTTCAGGTCGTCCTTTATGAGCTTCGCCTGCAATTTCAGATTTTCGACATTGTCCCCCCTTTTGAGCAGATCTGCGATTTCTTTGCCGATTTCGCCTTTGGTCAGCTCCAAGGTAAGCCTTTGCTCGTCCAGGTATCGAAAGAACAGCCAACGCCTCTCGATTCTCTCCAAGTCGACATTAATGCCTCTCAGCTTGATGCTGCGTTCCAATTTCGGCTTGTTCTCCAATTGTTCATCGAAATTGATGTACGGGGTGAGTAGCACAAAGTGATCCTGCAAGAAGCACAGCGTTAAAAATGATCTGTCATAACTGGCACATTAGATTTGATTGGTAAATCAGTGGATAACAAATGCATGTAAATTCACCCTAATGTCATAATAGACATTTATCATAAAAGACAATAAAGGGATGTTTTAACCAGCGAATGAAAGATCGTTGTCTATAATACGATGCTTTCTCTTATAGCAGAAGCCATAGAAACCATTATATTTCCTCGAAAATTTCTGATATTTAATTTAAACGCCAAAAATAGCAAGGTTAGGTTCTCCCGTCATTTCCAGGAAAACTATATTCTATTCTGAACTTCATTTTATTTCGTGCTCCACATCCCATCTTTAATAAGAATGACAGATGTTATCGGAATGCACCTCTACAAAGAGACATTAAATGCTGGATGGTACCTCTGTTTCCTGACGACAATAACATTCCTCTTCATTGTTTGAATTTAATATGGTTCCAGTGAGATGGCGAACCGCCCCATAATATAATGCTAGGAAGATTGGGGAATGATTGTCGAAAATGTTCCCCAACCATTGTTATTGCTATTACGGCGGTCACCTGACCTGTCTTTCTTTGACAATTTTTTGTGGGGGAGTCATAGGCTCATAGCAAATCTTTAGAAGATAATGGCACTGTGCTCAGAATTAGGGGGTGGGCAATTTTAACACATGTTGTGATGTTACATTGGTTAAATATTATTTATTTGTATGTATTTTGTTCTAATTTGTATTATAATTTTTTTGCAAAAGGAAGGTTCAATTCCGTTCAGATGAAAATCGAATTTTCTCAATACAACTAGTTCCATGCAGATGGATGAAACTGTCAAACAAAAGAACGTTTTGTTTTTCCAAAGCACTCTTTCCAAAAAATGAAAAATTGTATTTTTAGGAAAAATGTGATACTGAATGTGTGATATATCATTATAAATAGAAAAAAGATGTAATCTCAAAATGGTGTCCATAAGGTGAAATAAAGTTGCAATTTGTTTCAACGTCATATTGAAAGTTATTAAAAACGGAATGCCATATTATTTTCAAAACTATTGGAAACATTTTAAATTTCTTTACAGATGATTATTCAGTAAGGTAATTCGCCACTTTGCCCCGATTAAACCAATTTTCTATCTTTTAAGATAAGGCAGATCCCCATAGTAGCATTTGAAAAATGGACCTCAGTGTGAACCTACAGGGTCATAGAATGACCCATTTTCAACAGGCTTGTTACATGTGGTCAATTGTGCAAAGTTTGGACCATATCGGCCCAAGTATTTGGCAGTTATCGTGTTCACGGACACTATTGACCCCCTAAAAAACTAAATAAATCTTGATATTGCAATGTTCAATTGTTTTTGTGAACCTCTGAACAAAATGCTTCATAATTGTCAATTTAACTGACCTTATAGGTAGTCGTTTTAATAGGAACACACAGTATATACAAGGATAACAATTGACATATCTATCCCATGTTACTATTGCATTATAGATCCTACAAATACTCCCGAAACAGTGGCCTTGAATAATTTCAATCGAACAAAAGATGGTTAACAATGAGATTTTTTAGTAGGACTTCAACCTACAATGATCAAGTGGGTCCCGATTGGAGTTCTAAAGTAACAAGACAGAAAACCACACACTAAATCTGCAAGTTAAAAAGTTAATCACAAAAAGTTGTTATACTATCGTAAGGAAGTTTTAGTAATTAACGTAATAAAAAAATTAACACCTGCGCTTTATCGGCGGTCACATACAAGGCTGATGATAATCTACGGGTTACGATTTGAAGATAACGTGTCATTGCTCCTCCGGATCGACCTTCATTCGCTTGCTCTCGGCGAACTCCTCCTTGGTCGGTTGCGTCTCGATCTTGCGCTTCTGGGCGAATTCGAAGTTACCGAAGCCGGCGGCGCGCTCCGACTCGGCGATGGTGTACGGCTCTAACTCGAGCGCTTTCAGTCGTCTCTTGTGGACTTTCGTACGGAAATGGTCCTGCAGCGCTCGATCGGTGATGAAGTAGCGGGCGCAGTGCAGGCAGTAGAATTGCGCGTTACCGGGACGGTCGAAGTCTACCTCCTGGTCGAGGAGTTTCTCCACGTTCTCGGGTTTGATGTCCTCGTCAATCTGCAACGCAGTTACATAAGCGAAACGTGGTTTTTGAGGTTAGGTACCTGATCTAGATCCTTCGTGCGGCGCTTGGTCTTCCATCGTTTGGAAATGTGCGTTTTACCACCGTGAGCGTTTGTACGTCTCGAAACCATTTGGATTTTACCAGGAAATCGTGCGAAAGTTAGTATTTTATACGGCGACCACCAGCCGGTATATGAACCACAAAGGAAAGGTAGATGCGGGTGATTGGTAAGATGGCGCTGGTGCGTTGCGATATTTGAACTGTTACTGTGTGTTGTCAAAACGAATAATGTATTTTTATTATTGATCCCGTAACTTGATAATTGCGCAAAGTTAAGCGAAATTTGTGGGATATCGTCGGGAATAAAAAGTGATGTGTTAAATCGGGCTGTCCGCGTAAATTCGTGTTTTACATAGGTAATAAAAGTAAACCTTTGGCGCCTGGTAATAAGGAGAACCCGGCAGCCATGTTGTAATAGGTCTTGTCAAGCATCATGGGTTAATACAAGTTCGTTAGGTAGAGTTTTTTGTGTAAATCGGCGTGAAGTGATTAGTGATAGCGCATTTTTCGACGATTTCGTTCAAGTTGAGGTGTTGTTTATAAACAGACGTGCGACTTTCGCGACGAGTACGTCGGTTCTGCGCATATTACGGTAAGAGTGAGTGCAACGTCGTTGTAGCACAGGGAGTCGTCAACTGCCTGGCCAGTGATTGCAAGGAGTGTGCATCCCTGGTGCGGGAAGCGATCAAAACAACTCCAGGACCGCGGATGTATGTCCGGCGATCACCTCCGGGTCGTGGCCGCTATCGGTCATGTTGACAAGCATCGATGTTTCTCAGTGACACGTGTTGTACCACCGTAAACAAGGGTTTTGCGCTACTATGGCCAAAATTCTTGATACCGATCCCATTTTATACGCGAAAGAGCGGGACGGGTTCCTCAGAGACCTGCAGCACTTCCACGAGACTCGAGGGTAAGACTACACACACACCCCGCCCTTCCCCACTTCGTCACCTTCAGTACACACCTTCACGTCGGTCTTTTTTTATTGTTCCAGGACGCCGTTCCGAAGGGCTCCTACCATAAATGGACACGAGATTGATCTTTACCTTTTGTATTGTTTAGTCACCGAAGAAGGAGGATGGATCAAGGTAAGCGCGGCACTATTAATTAACAAAATTCGTAATTCCCGGCGAAACTTTAAACTATCAGGTGTTCGCAGCGAGGTCAGTGCTGCTGGTGAATTAATTCTTTATCTCGCGAGAAGCGGCCCGACTCCCCCACCCGAAAACGCACGTGTACCTACTGATATCAGTTCGCACTTTTGCACAATTAAGAAAGTCAATCACCTTCTTCGGAATACCCAATGAAGGATATTGAAATTGCATACAACGCAATTATTATTGTCTGTGTAACGGTAACAATGCCGTTCTATTAAACCAGAGGAAATTTCCGCGCAGATGTTCCGATGATAACGCGGCGGGGTAAAAGATATTCGAAATCTACTTAATTAGTTAATTGCGTTTTTATTTCTACTAGTTAATTAGGCGTAACCTTCCCGAGACTAGTGAAGATTACTGTTGGGACTTCCTAAATAATACCGAGGGTTCTGTGCGTGTCCAAAGATAATTCGGCCGCTATTTTCGCCTTGGTATTTTTCCAAAAATCACCTGCTCTTGACAGGCTTCATTGACTTGAGAGCGAGATTTTTTCGAGGCTCTCGATTGACATTATTTGTTAACATCGGTTTGATGTATTTTTCCCAGGTAAAAATAGGGTTGGTATCAGTAATATGCCGTCTAGGAAGTGAAAGCCGGTCATTGGTCGTCGAAACAAGTATTATTTTATTGTTTCACGTGAGCTTTGTTATTATTTATATTTTGAATGATTGCAAAATAAAGATATCTGAATTAAGTCGAATTTTGGTAATTTATATGTTAAAATTTCCCTCAATAACGAAAAGCAGATTAAAAGTGAGCCTGAATTCAGACATTTGTAAGTAATACCAGCAATAACCGAAGTTCACAGAATTGAATATATTATGCTCGCCAGGAGAGAATGCCGGTCACAGAACACCTGATTCCGGTCTACAAAGTACAGTCGTATGTTTTTCATATTAAACCATACCGGCATCAAGTGTTCTGTGACCGGCATTCTCCCCTGGCGCCCCTATGCCCTTTTAAATTCTCGAGAAACAGCCTACCATGAAGTTGGTCGCGAAAAAAATTGAAAATGATTTGGTTCGGGTTCTGAATTCAATGTACCAAAACTTGTTTCCATTGTACCTGGTCGTTTTCGAAAAATCACGACCAATTTCAGGCGAGCGGAAAGATTTTGAATATAACTCTGATGTACCAGCACTAGCGAGGGGGTAACATCTTCCCGCAATACTGTCACAAATTGTCTGCAATCGCTTGCAATCCCTCTGATTGCTGTGGAAATCTCCCTCACAGTCCCACAATCGCGTTTGCAATCTCACAATCGCCTAAAGCAATCCCGCAATCGTTGTGACAATCTGACAATCACATTGGTAAAGTCACTAAATATAGAAAGTACCGCAATCCATTGGGCTCGTGTGTTAGAGAGAGAACGCATGATTTTTGCCCAAAAATGGCGAAAGTTACCAGATTCTAGTAACTTTTATGTTAGGGATTGTTCCACCTGTTTGGAGATATCTGTATATATTTTTATAAAACATGACAGTACTATGAAGTTAGGTTATAAAAAATGACAGCTACTCAGATTTTATTTGTCAATTTTTTTAAGTTGGCAGCAAATTTGCCCAAAAATGGCGGATGATTGCGGTACTTTCTATATCTAGTGACTTTACACATTGGCAATCGTGCACGCCCTCTCCTGTTTTTAGGTACAATCACACGCCACGCGGGGTTAGGCAAAAAAGTTATTGCACCTAACTTTATTTTTTTAAATGGAAAGCCCTGTACTACTTAATAAAGCCCTAAAGCGGATCCAAAAAAGCGGCACAGCTCCTCGGAGTAACCCTACGCATCATTGGATTTGACTCATTTTCAATTGCCTTGTTACAAGTGGTATATATAGGTATGTTAACTGTGCAAAGTTTGGCGTTTGGCAGTTATGGTGTTCACGGACGGACAGACGGACACCGTCAACTTCCTTATAAAGCTTACATCGCTTTCCTCTGCCGCTTGATAATCTACAAATATAGCATATTAACTTTTAAAAAATATAATACGCTAAACATGATTCAAAAAGGGCTCAAAAAAGATTTAAAAAAAGGTCAAACGATTTGATAAATACAACAAAATTTCAAAAAAATTTTGAATCTTTCGGTTTTTTAAATCTTTTGAATCTATTGAAATCAATATGGAATTTTTGTAATGTTATATTTTGGAAAAGAGGTTCTTAATATGTTAGTGTTTGATTAAAATATTTCAATTTAAAAATGGACGTAGGAAATTCAAAAAATTATAAATCTCAGAATGAACCATAGACATAGAAAGATTTTTCTTACAAGTTTCTTTATAAGACTGTTGAATAATGTGCCGTTTTAAAATAAGTGTACGGGATCAGGTAAAAAAGTTATAGAACCTAACCGGAGACCTAACGTCATTATTTTTAAGTGGAATGCTCTGGAATTCACTTTCTAGAAATATAACACTAAAGAAATTTAAAAAGTGCGATATTAGATTTTTCAAAAAATTTCAAAATGTTTAATTTTTTTGTTGTTTTTTAATATTTGAACCTTTCTTAAATGTTTTAATTCTTTTTTAATAATTTTGAATTTTTTGTTTTCCCTATCTATTGCGATTGCGTTATATATTAAAAAAGGAAATGTTAATACGCTATCTTTTTAGATTAAAACATACAGGGTGTTCTATTTAAAAAATGAGGTTAAGTCCAGTAACTTTTTTGCGGACATCGTATATGTAACATTGTAACCTATTTTGTAAACGGCAGATTACCCAGCAAGTAATTTTGTAATAAACATTATTTCGTGTCTCTTTTTATTCTGATATTGACAATTTTTGATTTTCCCTTGTATCTCTGTAAGCGAGCGAATGTTTTCAAATTTTGATTGTGCCATTTTTTAACATTGGCCCAAAAAAAAGCACATGCCACTTAGTTCGTCTTTCGGTATGTGTGATTTGAGTGGGCCACCCCCCTATTAGAGTTATCGGATTGTATAGAACTTGTTCCATTGAAATACTCTTCTTTTTAGCACATTTCCACAAAAATAAAAAAACTTACTATTGTGGCCACTTTGCCCGTCCGTCCCTAGTTTTTCTACTTTTTTCGCTATTTGGTTCGTTATGCTGTCAAGGTTTGCACCAAGGAAGGAATTTTTTCTGTGCCGCTTACGAAAAAAGTTATGGTAAAAACCCATTTTTTTGAGATTGTATTGTATTGCTGTCTGTCTGTATGCCCGCCTGTCAGTGTATCTGTCTGTCTGTTTGTCCGTCCGTGTGCACGATAGCTTTTGTATTTGCGCAATCCATTTTTTATGTGTGAAATACTTAAATGAAACTTTTTATGTAGGCTGTAGATGTAGATGGCGACCTCGACTAAAGTAAAACTAGTGCCGAGTCAAAAAATATGTTGGGGTCATGCGCAATTGGATTTTTTTTATTTGTTGTTTAAATGAAATTTTGTATGTAGGCATCTCGAATAAAGATGAAACTAATGCCAAATCAAATAATTTGTTTTGTGCATGCCCAGAAATACCCTGAAATTTTAGGGTAGGGTTCTTTTTATAAACTGAAATTGAAGCAGCAAGTCAAAAATGAATTGCACATGTGCAACGCTAACTTTCTTATTTGTGGCCGGATTTTTACGAAATTTTAAGTTTAAGTTTGCTTGCATCTTACAGTATGGGAAATGAATGCAATTGTAATGCGCCTTTTATAAATCGTTTACGACGAGGTTTACGATTACTTTTTTAACTTCTTATTTGTGTATTTAAAAGTACCTGTTACCAACTAAGAATTCCCTAATAGCCAATATAAATGAATATGTTTCTTGCTTAGGTAATGTCCGTGTATAGCAACTTGAGCAGGTACCAAAAATCTTTGTCAGTCACCCACAATCACCTGCAATCATTTACAATCGTCTGCAATCATTCATAATCACATGCAATCCTCTAAAATCCTACAATCCCATCGCAATCGCCGGATTGTGGTCGCAATCGCAGCAATCGTGGGGAAATCATGGGGATTGTCGCAATACTGTCACAAAATTTGAGAAGATGTTACCCCTCGTATTACTTAGATGATACATTAAAAACCAATCAATTAATGGAACATTTAATCGTAATGTGTAAAAGTTTTACTGGTTATATGCGACAAATAGAAAGTGTCTAATTTGAGGAGAGCGTCCATCTCTATGCACTGAAAAAGACAGCTATTTTATTTCAGCTTGGTCACCTGTCGGCGCCCGGCGAAATACGTCGCACGCCACTCGGTAGCGCTACTGAGCGACTTAACTGTTGTGCCCACGACACGGTAGCGTACCCTGCTACTCCTCCGCAGCGTTTAAAAAACGTTGGTGTTGGTGAAGAACCTAGAAAACAGGAGAATCTCGATAGTTCCTGGCAGTCAGCCAGGAATAAAAGTGCTGGGGAAGCAAGAGGTGAACTCTGGCTGAAGTGGATCCAAAACCTCAGCCGGCTGGCAGAACATAATAACCTCACTAATATGGGTATCCAGGCAGTCTGCTGTTATTAAGGGATAACGAAATGACCCACCAAGTAGCTAAAGAACATGGACAGTTACCTTTTATAGGATCTCAACCGGTATGTGGAATCGCACATATAACTATGGGGCCTTGAAATAGACGCACTGTATAGAGGGTGCAGAGAGGAAGAAGAAACATAGGTTACTGGGGGCAACCATTAATGCTTCAAAATGCTCCTCAATTAAAATAAATCTGCTCAAAAACTTTCACAAACCTCCAATGGCATAGTGAAGTGGCTGCTGTACTCAGCACTAAAGGTCCCTGGTTCAAGTCCGGACTTAGGCATGGGTTTTTGGGCATATATCTAGTGGGTTCGGTTAGTACAGCAGCCTTGGCTACAACCATGCTCTGTTGAGACCCAGCACTTTCCTTTCTCTCCACTTCTGCAGTGTAAGAAGACAATTTAATGCAGGGTTTAAACTGGGAAAAAATTACTTTGAGCAAAAATGCTATAGGCTCTTACAGAACTGTAGCAAAAGTAATTTTCTTGTAGCATTTGTGTCATTTGATATTTAGTTATTAAATGTATAAGTTACTCATTTGTTTGTTGCCATTCCACTTGAGTCATGGTTATTCAATTAAAAAATATAACGCTGAAAGCGGAACACAATACGAAAATCTGCGGCTCTAAACATTTACACATTCAACAAAATGAAATAAATTTCATTTAGGTAATTTTTTTTGCCGCAAGAAACGCGACAGCCTGCCTCAGCAACGTGGCAATTTCGCCTTTGGGGTTGAAAAATGCGACCACAACTTAATCCCTGTGTTAATAGTTTATAATATCAACCAGTTTTGCAATCTGCAACGGTCACAGATTTCCTTATGGTCCATAAGGTCATCTCACTATTCTATTCTCTACGCTATACTTATACATACACAAAAACTGCTTTTCCCACTGTATCAAGACTGTAGGACCAAAAGGCAACGGAACCATCCGTACTGGTACTAATTAAATACCGAACATCCCAACGTGATGACGGGCAAAAGTTCACAGATGTAATAATTCCAGCTTGTGCCACCAACACTGCCACAGGATAACCGAACTGCAAATTCCAAACACGTAGGATCCGATCAATTGACCCCGCCGCCAGTAGGGTATTTTCCAAATTGATCGCAATATCTGTCAATTCCGATGAGGCCCCGCGAAAGGTAGCAAGTAACCGTCCCGTCGTAGACGACCACACTTTGATTAACAGATCATCTGCACCCTGTAAAATTGAAATTCTAGGAAGAGCTTCTAAACACTTTCGTTACTACCATACAGTTACAATAAATCTTCCGGTACGATCAAACAGCAGGCAATAAACGGCAGACAGATGGCCCAAAGTTCTCCTTTGTAGTTGAAGATTTGCATATCTACTTGAACCGACTACTAAATGTCGAGTTGTTGGACCAGACATTTGTCGGCCAATACAAACATTTACTGAAACAAATACTAAGTGGTTTTTCGGCAAAATAAAATAGCATTATACCTATATTATGTGTGCTTTTGAGGAATGGCGGGTCCAGTAATGGTTTCCCATGTATTCGCGCAGCATAATACAGTTGGGCGTTATTACATCGTTTGTGGTCAGTACGTCTTAATAACGATTGTCTCCCTGCACCTAATAACGATGGAGCTCGTTTAATGCTGGGTGGTAACTCCCTGTCTAAAATGCATCCGAGGCGCGAACAAATTTTTAATAAGTAGTCTGGCCCTATGTGAGGATAGTGTTTTTCCTAAATTGTAAGAGTGAAAATTCAGTAAACAAATGGGTCAATGAAAAGATTACCAATTCTGCTAAATTGCGCCTGTGCTCATTTCCTTTCCAGTCAAGACGATTTGGTAATATCTAAACAAAATAATGTTGTATTTAACATGTTCCTTGTATAGTTACTTACATTTGAACTTTCCAACTCCTTTACGAGCATCTGGAAAAGAAGTTTCTTCAGAGATAGCTCCTGAAAAACCAATACATACCTGATGTGTCTCTTTCAAGGGACTAACAGATAAACATTTCTGTATAAGAAAATACAATTCTAAAAATAAATAAAATTAATTCAGGTTTTTAACAGGTATAGGTGATACCTGTAACAATTTCATTGCCTTTGCTCGTACCTGCCTCAGAACTCATCTTAAATATATCTTATTTATTATCAATGTTTTTATTTATATTTACACATTGTAAGTTTAGACTTATTTGTACGTTATTTAAATCAATTGAAAAAATTCTTTAAGGTTAGAAAACAACTGTTATGGGGTAAGCTGGTTGTACTGACCGTTTACAGTTGTATAGTTGGCAAACCTGACTAACAGTGACGGATTAAGTTTTGAATAGATTATTTCACTTTTTATAGATTTTTCAATACTTCTTTTTCTAAATAAATGTAGAGTATTGGCATTGTAGTATTGGACAAAGATAATATTTTGTACAGCAAAGTAAGAGTGTAGGTAATACATGTATTTGTATTTCTTCAACTCTATCCATGACACTGACAATTTAATTCCACAGAGTGGAGCAGAGTAACTTGCTTATTTGGTTACTCAATAAAAACAAAACATATACAAATATAAATTTTAACATCATTAGAAATTTATGTTTACTTGATTTTAGAAATTATGTCAGGCAAATATAGCGTCCATTATTTTCAGTCCACTGTCTCGATTTTGAAAGTTATATTGAATAATTGAACTCTTTGCGGGACATATGATCTAAGATCGTCCCTTTCTAGAGTCAATGCGTCCCTGCACTACGTAATTAGTGCAGTTGTTTTCTGGGTGTACTTGCTTTAGTGCCTGACAGGTGGTGCTACACTTTTATAAATTCTACTGTCTGCAATCCTTTATAAATTTCTTCTGTAATTAATGAGTGCCTAAACGAAATACAAAGCAAAATACAATACACCCTATAATCCCCAACAACCACAAAAATGGTAAGTGATAATTTCACTTTCGTTAATGTCATATTTATAATGGTTATGTAGGTATAACAACACAAACTTAACCTCACAATTTAAATTTTAGGATGTATTTTTAATGATTAGAAGAAAAAAGCTAACTATATTTACAGACGCAAAGGATACCACAACGGTTTTAGAATTAAAGAAAATGATTGAAGGTAGGCACACACAGATGGTTAATGTTATAAGTAAAAATACTGTTTAAAGGGATTTTGAAAGTGGCACCTCATAACCAGCAACTATTCAACAAAGAAAATGCTGTTATGGAGGATGTAAAGATGCTGCAAGATTACGGACTTTCTTCAACAACCGCCAAAGCTCAAAGTCCTGCAACTGTTGGTCTAGCTGTCAGGTATATATTGTTAAATAAATGAGCTTGGATACTATCTAGTTTTCAGAGATGAGAACGGCGCATTTGAGCCTTTAGAATTAACTCCTTATTCTTCACCACCTGATCTACCTGATGTTATGAAATCTCAAGAAAGCAACGGTCAAGAACAATCTTCTTAAACTCCATTGTACATTATTACTCAGAACTGAATTTATTCCTTACATTCAGTACCAAAATAGATAATTTTATTTTAACCATTAATTTAACGATTGTCATATTCAGTTTATTATTTAAAAATGGCAACATAAAATCAGATCAACATTATAGACTAAAGTCTATGATGCATTCTAAATCTTAGTAAGTCCTAGTTTACAAGCTTTAATAATAGTCTCTATTGAGTACTTTCTCCATATGAATGTATTTATTATATGTACAGTTTTTGCGAGTATATAGTAGTGGAAGAGCTGTATTGCTTTAGCTCATTTTTGTAAAACCAGTTACCAATGCTAAATCTGAATATTTGGAATTTTTTAGGCTTTATAAATGCAATTTGTTGATGTTTACGAGAAGTTATAACAATTATTGTGAATCTTAACAAATGTAAATGGTTTTGGTAAGGATAGATTAATAAATTAAGGTTTGACAGTTGGACATAATTTTTTTATGCACGAGATATGGATATAATATTGAAACTGGATGATAATTATTCATATCAGTTTGATTCCCCTTTTTCAGGATCGGAATAACTGACGTAATTTTTAGCACCATGGGAAAAGTATTACTTCAGTACATATATACACGCTTTAATAATTTTTGTAAGGGGTACAGTGATGTGGTGAATAATTGTTTTTATGACTATGGCATTAGTCCAAAGGTCCTTGCTCTTATTGTTTCACATTTTTTAAATTGTTTCTCTCACATCACTGAAAGAAACTTCGTTAAACCGGAAAAGTGGTTTAACTACACTGAATTGTTTTGTGAATAAAAAAGTTCAAACAGAAATTCAATACCTAGAGACAGAGCACCACCTATTTTTTCAGCAAGCACTACCACTGCATCAAAGACATTATTTCGAAAGTAAATTTGGCCTTCTTAGACCCTTCTTTTGAAGTGAAATGCTGTAGAACAACTACCTTTTTGTTCTGGGACAACTACCTATCTCTGCATCATAATTCATAAAAGTAATTGGAAATTTAGAACGGTGGCATTGTATAGTGCATATTGGAAGCTCACCATATGTATCAATCATCATCATCAAATGTAGTTTTGTTATTTGAATTTAATCAAATAGTTCATATGCATCAAAGAATAGTTCCAAGCTTTATTCATTGCAATGTTCCTATCACGTCATACACACATAACCTTGACATTCAGTACACGGAGGTTAGTTATTCAAACACAAATTGAACTAACCTTCGTGTAGGTACTAAAAAAAGTGTTTTTGTTTATCTTATCAGACTAACGACAAATAAATGATTCGTTACTTTCACATTTGTCATTTAACAATAGAAGAGGAAAATGCACTAGAGGTGGTGCCAATACTGCTTATCACTAACAGATAGTGGCTGATACAGCATTTTATTGTGTCATATGCCTGTTGTAATTATCCTATGGTCTGTGATTATCCTGTTTTAGATGTTGTTAGTTGTTTAGTTGTGTTTCGTTTGGTAGACAAGATCTGTAACTATGAGCAGTAGGTCGGTAAGTACTTCATTTCAAATGAATGTATTGTGCATCTAAATTGTTATTTGTATATTACTTACCGTTTTGAAAGATTTTTTGAAAAGTTCAATACATGAACATTGTGATTGAGGTAACAACAACAAGTTCATAAATAAATAGGTAGATTCATTTAGCTAATGAACCATTCCTAATCTTAAACAGAGGAGCATCAAATATGAGGGTACTGTTCACCAAAGCACCCAGATAGCATGGATGTTAGCCAATCCGTTTTTTTAAATTCTTCTAATTATCGTCACATGATTAATGTATCTTATAGATTGATTCTGGCCGCTTTTTTAAGCATTTCTGTTTCGGTTTCTGTAGCAATTTGTAAAGTTCCAGGATGTGAGCAGCTTACAGCTTCAAATTCGTTATAGGTTTGTTAATAGGTATTTGTGTATTAATTGAAAGCATACATAGCGGATACAGAAATTGGTACCTACTGCCATTGTTTTTCTGTGTTAGTGCCATTTACCTGTAGAGATAGTAGCAATACTGCTTTGTTGGGTATTTTGAGTACCTAAGTATATGGTTTTGTTCACTGTAAATTTTTCTGTTTAATTGTTTTTTGTAATTTGCTCAATGGATGTTTTACTTTATAGTTTATGACAAGTAAAAAGATCATTTGATTTGATTTTACTACATTGTCACATCTGTGTGGAAGCTCCAAAACGTTCATGTTTTGAAAGAATGATCCATCACTTAGGTACCTACATTTGCTGAATTTAGAGAGGAGAGTGAACAGATGCCCAGTCTCACTTTGACTCTCTATTACATATAGCATCAACCATAAACTGGATTCAATTTATACTACTAAAGATAAGAAGTCCATAAAACTCATTTATGCCACGTTCTCTTCTAATCAGGGATCAATTAATAAACTTAAGAAGTGTTTTTTAATTTGTCATAAAAAAAATTTGGAATTAAGTATAACAAAAAAGGACGAGTACAGCTCCACTATTTTATCTACGACAGTAGTTCAAATGTACGCCTGTGAATGACATGATGCTTATACACTGCAAATTTAAAGATTCTGAAAAACTTTACAAGATTTCTATACCTACCTGTACATCAGTAACAGTTACAGAAAATAGCAGACCTCCGTCGTACATTAAATTAACTTAACTTTAGGAGTGTAGGTAAATGAGAAATTCAATGTAGCGTTCGGCTTATGAATTTCTCATTTACCTACACTCATATAAAGAAATTGAAAACATGGAAAACTGTACAAACAACTTAACTTTCTTCAATAAACAAACTTCACTATCAAAAAGACGAACGCCGTCGTAACATCCAACAGCCTGACTGTCAAAAGCAGAGTTTAAAACATTCACAAATACTGTCGGACAACCACCGACAAAGTTTACGATCCAAAAATCACATTTTTTATGATATCATAAACAAACAGCCAATCAGAACCAAATTTGAATAACGCCAGCTTTGAAATAAACTGCGCACCTCTTTTATCCTCTCTTTTTTAACTTCTCTTATCGACGATATCACGTGCTTATCTTGAAACTAATGAAATTTCAGGTTACGCAACGCGATAACAAAATCGATATAGGCGGACGTATTGTTTGGGCTTGATAATAATGGGTCGCCCTATATGTGGAATACCAATTTTTGTAAGTTTAAATTTGATTACTGGTTTTATTTAAATTGATCGCCTTGTAATTTATTTATTTAATTGTAAAAGTGAAATTACATGTTAAAATGTAGGGACATCTGGTTGTATTTGCGCGTATTAAAAGGTGTTATCTGGTGATTTCAATCAGAATTGGAACTCGGTGTTTAATTCAAAACCAGCAACTGTATTTAAGCTTACAAAAAGTGGTATTCCACATACACCCTGTATGTGTTGGCCAAGCCCAAACAATACGTTGTTTACACAACAGTATGAATAAACTAACAAGATTTTTTCAACTTAGAATTTTCTAATTTATTCGTACTTTATTTGCTTCTTCATGTTTTTCTTTTTGTCAAGGTTTATTTTGCAAGGAGAAAAGTATTTCACTATATCACTGGAATTTTAAATTTGAGTAGTTGCTTAATAATCTCAAATATAATAATAATATTAATAGCCTTGCTAAAATATGGTACAATTTTCCACAGGGATGCGATATATGTGTTTGCAAGGAGGATCTTCCAAACCACAAAGGTTCTCTTCAACATCGCTTCAACTTTGCATTATTTGAGTGGACTAAATATAGGTAAACAGTCAGTATAAGGTAATGCCTATTGCTTTAATTGTGTTATACAGACGAGCAATTGTCAAGAACCGAAATGGCATAGAAATTGAGGTAAAACTCCATAACATAGAAACGAATCGAAATGATTTGGTGTATAAGTTTGAAGAAAAAAAGGGTCGTCATGGAATGACGGTAAGTCTGTAACCGAGTCTGTAACATTAAGTTACAGATGCCTTTGATTTTTATTTTTCAGGTGTTGGAACAGCGTGCTAGAGATGAAATGGTACAAAACAATGGGATCAGCTATATCTTCACTGTATTAAATAAGCAGCGATCTAAAAGTATTTTCTTAATGGGTACAATGCTTTTACATCCAAATAATAATTTTAAATTGGAGGATTTTGAAGGAAAAATGACAGAAAATACTATTTTACAACTTGAACCAAGTAAGAGAGAGGTGTTATTTTTGCAATACTGATGGTGGTTGATTGATTTACAGATCAATCGCATTTCTTAAGCTTTCGTTTTAACACGTCACTATGTTGTGTTTATATATAATAATGGTGCAATTATTTTAGATGCCTCATACAGTTTTAAAGTTACATTCAACTTAAATCGTGTAAAAGTGAGTACTTTCGCCATGCCCGTAGCTATACATCTGCAGACCGAACGTCTTGAAAATTTTACTATATCTCGAGAAATGGTGAGTATAAAGTTTAGACCATTTTCATATATTTTCAAAGAATCAGAATTTCGTTATGGAAA